AGAGGATGTAGGACTCGGGAGCTATAATAGGTTTGGTAACCAGGCTAGTATTTTCTACATACAAAAAGACACGTAATGCAAAACTAATAAAACTCTTAAGGCATATATTTTGTTCATGTCTTCTGTTTTTGCTGTAGTACCTGCACTGCCCCGAAGCCGTAGGGCCCGAGGAAGCGCTCGCATTCCGCCGCGATGTCCGCCCACCGCCACTCGAACAGGTGCACGGCGGCGTGGCGCCCGGAGACGTTGTTTGGGTCCCACTGCGCCAGCGCGCCCGCTAACAGCGACAGGACGAGGGCCAGCTTCATGGTCAATCTCCAAGCAGATCCTAGGGCGGCGAAAAGACAGTATAAAATTGGCCAGGCAGAATCCATTGGCCAGAAAGGGTCCATGCACGACCCAAGGTGATCACAGTTCTTTCCACAACCAGTCTACAACATAGGCAGGAATAAACTTTACGTTGCCCGCATATTCATAACTTTTAAAAGGCATTTTCTTTGTTTGAAATCGTATAAATAAATAGATCACTTCAGCATGATAGTGTTACAAAGTACGTATTTTACTGTGAGACAAGTTTTTTTTTTAATAAAAAAGAAATGGCGCTCACCTTGCTGATCTTCCCAACGTGAACTTCTGCAACTGTCGGAATTTTACAGTCGCGGGCATCTATCTATAGAACCTTGGGGACAGTACATATGATATTCGACGTTCTTTCTTTTGTCACGAGAGGCAAATATGATATATAAATTATGTTTACATAATCAGATACTGGCCGCGCGCCCTGCCAGTAGGCCTTGGGTCAACGTGTTTCACGTTTTACCTTGTGTGAGACTGGGATAGAGACCTTGTGTGCTTGTACTATATATTGCTCATTGCAAGTTATTATTACAAAAAATGCAAGTACTAGTCATTATTGCACACACTCAGTTTACAGATCGACGTATACATTGGAATATGTCAACAAGTTACAATTGATATAAGGTCTGCAGTATTCATTATGCCAAATTAAACTCAGCAATTAAGTTGGGCACGTGGATTATTGCCAGGGTCCGTCAGGAAACACAACATTTTCCCCTAGGCCTTACGCCCTTTCTTGCGTATTTTCAGATAAAGGTCTTCCTATGGAGATGTGACGTGGTGGGAACTCACGCAGGTGGCGTTTGTAAGGTTAGAACATGCCTCAGACCGGGGCGCCCAGCTGAGCTGGGCGGTAGAAAACCACTACAGACCCGAAGAGAGCCTGCCCAAACCCTGGTAGACTGGACCCCAGGGCATACATTTGTAGTAGGCAACACCTATAGCCTTGGAAATAATCATCGGCAATAAATTTGAGACACAACATTTTACACCTTATGTAAGCCTTGCAGCAGTGCAGTAAGATAAATACGTGTGTATGTTCATATATTAAAAATAGATTATATAAGGCATAGCGAAGGGACAATTTAAATACATAAAAGGTAAATAAAATCTGAATGACAAAAGAACGACATGTGCCAGAAAATTAAATTACCAGCAAAGTTTGTATTGTTTTATGACAAGACAGCCAATACTCTTACGTATTAATATGGCTTTGTTGTACATTTTGTAAATGTAACATGTCATACTGGAAATATTACAAAACCTCAAAACAATAACTACGGCTCCTCTCACTGCAACTGGGGTAAGCATCACTACAGGATGTGCTGACCTGTATTATGTATGTACATGTAGTGAGGTAGGAAGACAGAGATGTCCCCAGCATGTACCAAGTTATGAGCTGCTCACAATATCTATTTGGGACCTTTGTAGCTTATTCAACTTGGGTCCTGTATGATACCTGGTTATAAGATCTAAAACAACTTCAAGTTACAAATAAAAAAACTCTGGTCACCAAATTGTTTTCAGCACATAAGGAATCTTACGAGCATATTTCAAGAAAATGGGCAAAGAAGATCTCACTTCGCACTTGTTACAAATACGTTTACAGGTTTGCAAAATATTTTAGTATTGCCCTCTACGATACATGATAAATATACATGTTTACTTGTCCAAAGTTCTTGCACCACAGAAAACTGAGATGCAGCACAGCAGTCCATACTGACATACATTTAAAACTAAACGTTCTATGACTGATACAATCTGTGCTGCATGCAATGCTGTCCACACTTCTGCCTTAATTACCAGCACTTTCGACTACAGCTTATTCAGTACTTTTGCATAAATTTACAATGATTCTATATTAATTTTTACAAGTCTTGATATTAAATTCTCCAGGATTGCACTACATGTAGCAACATATTTTGCATGGGTGGCATGGTGTGTATTAGCTTTCCTATATTAATGTATACATGGTATAAACATATTCTAAATCCCAATGGGTATTTGTGTACGTCACTTTGTGTAAGTCACTTTGTGCTAGGCCAAGGAAAACAAATATTGTGCTGAAAAAATTAGGGTTGGTAGGTAGGGATTCACTTTTAACATTTTTTAAACGTTTTTGCCAAAGTGATTCAACAAACATGGTTAATGTAACACTGAAATGCATCAGTACACTAGAATTTGTTTGGACTGGAACCAAAACTTTAGGTTCAGTTCAGATCTGACATAGCGATGTCATGTGTAACAGAACACATCACTATTTTAGATTTTAAAAATTGTGTCTCTCAGGTAACCAGAAACAACATTATTTTCCTAGGCCTTACTAGTGACACAGAAAGTTTAGCATGAGGTCCGGTAGCTTGAGTGAAGTAAGATAACTGTTGTTACTGAGTCAATGATATTAACTATCTGTGACACAGAAAGTTTAGCATGAGGTCCGGTAGCTTGAGTGAAGTCAGATAACTGTTGTTACTGAGTCTATGATATTAACTATCTGTGACACAGAAAGTTCAGCATAAGGTCTGGTAGCTTGAGTGATGAGAGATAATTGATCCTGCTGGCACCAACACTCTGCCTGATGGTCAGTCTACACAGCTGCTTCAGACTCTCTACATGGCCTAGGGAGAAAAGACAAAAAGGTTATTATTATGCATTGTATAGTACCCCAGTAACATGTAATGTTATTGGTCATTTACAACATCAAGGAAGGCTACGGTAGTATATATATATATATATAGTGTACTTCTAACATTTTTGTTAGAAAAATCTGTCTATGTGTGTGGATATATTTTATGATTCACTGTCCATTGCACTTGTAATTAAGAGCTGGGGAAATTTCCCTAGTACTGTAAACTGAGTCTGTAAAACGTATCAGAATAACAAGGACAACATCTTCAGTACAATGTATGTAATAATGTTTGCTATGGCAGCATCAGTGGAGCTGCACTTTACCACACAATCACTAGGTGGCACTGTTGTACAGTCTTACCTTCATAGTATAACAGCAACTGTCTGGCTTCACTGTCCTCTGCAGTAAGGTGGCGAGCTCTCTTGCCATACTGGTTCAGTGCGGTGATATTGGCGCCGTGTTCCACTAGGACCTGAATGACGGCAGTGAAGTTGTTCTGCGATGCATAGTGCAGCGGTGTTTCATGGTTCTTCCTGGCATTGGGGTTAGCACCTAAGAGAGGGATCCAAGAGTATGATTATCTGTCACTTGGCAGTGAACAAAAACTGTGATGAACAGTGCGTTGCAATTATTTTATACATGAAAAAATATTGACCATTGTCTAAGACAGTACCAGATAAATGGAAGCTTTTAAGTACATTAGAGATCCTTCTGAAAATAGTTACAACAGGTTTGTAGAACATACATGTAGGACATTAGGATTTTTTTACATAACCAGTAAGGTCTCTTACTTAGTGCCACCTACATTGGCTACATATTGCAAGATAAGAGGCATTATTTCATTCATTTCATTTATTGGTGATGCCACAACGCATTACAAGTGGGAGCCAGGCAGCCAGAAGGCTGGTGGCAGCTGCCACTGGTACATACAACACAACACAGGATAAGTCAATACAATATACAGGACCTAGCAACAAGTTACGAATATCCAAATAGCAAAACATAACAGTGCATTATACAATATTGAAGACACATCATCATCAAATTAATATTACTGGCTGTGTAAAAGAATATCCCAACATCCCACAACAGAGATTCTATATCATCAGAAATTTTCTGAGAAAATTTACCTTTTGTAATCAATTACATGTATATTTCTGCTCTGTAACAGCAGTATTTCGTTCCAAAACTTACCTGCTAGAAGAAGGGACTTGGCACAGTCCACGTGACCCCTGATACAGGCTACATGTAGAGGTGTACCATGGTGACAGTCTGTGTGTTCAATCTTGGCTCCATTCTGAATGAGGATGTCTACACATTCCTGGTGTCCTGTACAAAAAAAGAAGTAAATTTGTATTACTGGAACCGGTATTAAACCTGTGCTTGGTCATGTGGAGGTAATTCTAATGCCATACAACTTACAAGTCTGCATGTAGTCCTTGAGTTGCAAATGCTCGGACCCAAGAACATTAAGTCAATGTTACAGTGTACAAGTCTGTCCTGTGTTAGACTGACCCGTGCAGTCCCCTACCTTTCCATTTTATACTGCAATTGCTCAAACACAGCTTCTGCATCACCCAAGGTACCAGCCCGACCACAGGTCGGATCACCCAATGGCCAAATTATGTCAGACCTAATAAAAGATGTGCCAGAAATTGAAAAAATTTGAAGTCAACTGTTAACATCAATTCCAATATCTGGTACTGTATTCTGTATATAGAACCCTGTGTGATAACTGTTATCAGACACTTGTGATACAGTAATTGTTATAGAACTAATGTGATAACAGTTAATATGGATCCCTGTGTGATTACTGTTATAGAGCTTATTCACCACACGTCATCATGACGTCACGACCCCTCATGTCCCGTGCGACGCCATTTTGGGGCTACAGCGCCTACAGCGAGTTTCCAAGCATTGAAATGGCCGACAAACGTTAGGTAAACTGTCCTTTGTCCTATTACACGAAGAGTTTACCACCACTCATACCTCTCGTTACTGGAACAAAATAAAATCTGTTGGGATTGACCCGTTTCTGTTGAGTTTTGATCAGTCTGATAGAAACGGCGTCTACCGCCAGCGGAGTCCATTGACGTGACTTAGCTTCGTATTTGGTACTGGGCAGAAGTTTTTACACACAGGATCGGTTCAAGAGTCTGGAAGCGTTGTATCAGGATGTGTAGAAAGTGTTGTGGGACAGTTGCGTGGTGACAATTAAGTACGTTGTAGTCGGGAAACGCAAAAAGTCGCGGCTATTTTGGAACAGCCCCGGAGTGTGTCTGGATAAACAACAAGCAAAGGCGAGGCCATCGGCCGCCATCCTCAGTCCGCACTGCCGCGACTGTGGCTGGACAAGGTGAGTGTTACACGTTGCCAGCACCCTGTTCTACATGGAGATTTACCACAGAGTAAAGGGACAAGTAGCTCCGAGTCCAACATTTTACCGTGTTCATGGCTACCCACGTTTCAATCTACATGTACATGTACAGCCCCGTACGCCGCGCCAGGATTAAACACACCGATTTCTGATCAGCAAAGAAAGACTGAAAAGCCAATCTTGACAACATGAAAAGTGGACACGGAGCCAGAACAACCCAAAGGACAATGTTACTAACAAGAAGAGTGTCCAAAACGTAAATTGTGGCCCAAAATACACAACTATCGCCAAGAGTTTGCATAGCATTGCATAGCGATAGCCCCAAAATGGCGGACGCCAGGGGGAGAGTCACGTGACAATCTGTGGTGAATAAGCCCTATAGAGCCCCATGTGATACAGCTAGTTATCACCCGTTTTCACATGTTTTTACAGTGTTGTAAGGCTTTACCTCTCAACACAGCCTCGTGTAGCGGAGATGCAGTGATGAGGCTGGGGTTGACGTCAGCACCGTGGGACAGCAGCAGCTGGATACAGGCCACACTGCCGCGGGAACACGCATCGCACAGGGGTGTACTGCCATCTATGTTTCTGGCATTCACCTGCAGGAATGCATTGGGCACAAACACACCAGTGAGAACATTGCCCTATTCGCCATCATTGATGGACAAAAACACTGTGTATTAAGGTACAAAGGAGAAGTCATTTAACTAGAAAAACCCAAAAAGCAGTCCAGTTTTACACAGCTTATACATAGCACATACAAAAGCTGCAGACTTCACCCAGTGGTAGAAATACTTTTTCCAGTGTTCTGCAACTGCAGAATGTCAAAATTTGGTTCTACAATTCAGAAATACTTTCAGAATATTCAGAATACACACTTGTATCTAAACCCATGACATACACAAAATTGCATGTTGGCAAACATTTTATATGCAACTAAAAATAAACAATTGAAAAATACAGGCAAATTATTAGTACTTGTTATAGACTGTATAGAGTCAGTAGTAAACTTAAAAGTTCTTCAGTCTGCAATATTACTTAATTTTCTTCTGCAATATTGAAAATGTCTCTGCGAAATGCAGATGGGTATCTCTTTGTTAGCGGTTATGAAAGACAAACAAACCAGCCCTTACCTGGGCTCCTGCTGCGATGAGCATTTTGGCACAGACGGCATGTCCACCTAGACACGCCTCGTGTAGCGGAGTGACCGAGTCGATGGTGCTGAGGTTGGCGCAGGCTCCCTGGTCCAGCAGGGTCTTCAGCGCCAGGACACGGCCGTAACACGCAGCGTCATGGAGAGGGGAGCGGTCAGCCCAGGACCCTAAGGACAACATGGTCAACATAAGTCACTTCAGTACAAAGCTAGTTTAATTTCCAACACAAGGAATTGGACCAATACCTCGTGTAAAAAATTCTGGTTCAGTGTCCAAGGTAGCCTGGTATCCAGTCTGATCGTGGTCGGGGCCGTAAGAGCTCGGGGCCGTAAGAGCTCTGGCCTGCCCGGCGCCCGCCTCACATAGGTTTCCCAGTGTGCATTTCACGAGAGATTAAATTAGCCCTCCACGAACATCGTGTTGGGGGGAAACCAAATGCTCAAGCATACTGTCTCTGATTAGCGTAACACTCCTACCGGGACGGTCTGTTGCACTGGGCGGGGGAAGCTCTTAGAGCCCCCGAAGACACAACCTGCCTGAACACCCCAATACCCCCAATCACGATCAGACTGGATACCAGGCTAAATCATAGTCCTTTTCATCCTGGCGGACGTTCTCTTCATCATTTGGGACCCAACTGTTCAACTGTGAGCAGCTAGACCAGCTCTGCTTCTGCAGGGCTTGTCACAGGAATCACATACAAACTGTACAATAATCATATAGTGATAGTCACTCACAGCAGGTTACTGGCACTTTAATAATAACCTTTATTGTACATTCATGCCCTATCGGGCTAAGTACAGGTCAACAGATGAAATAGGTAATATACATGTTTGTAGTATAAACAGCTCTAAAACTACTCGGCTTCTTCTCGTTTCTTTGTGATATTGAAAATATAATTTGAAATGGGTTTGTATAGTACAGAATGATCAAAGCGCATAAGAAAGATAAATTTTTCAACATTAGGCAAGTGCAGTGTTGGAAGTATGGAAACGTACTAGTAATATACTTAAAAAGATCATTTCTTTCATTACTATATAAACTACAATCAATAACAAAGTGGGCTTCATCTTCTACTTTGTTTGAGCTACAAAATTGGCAAATCCTTTGCTCCAGAGGTGTGCGGTTGTGCCTTCCTGTTTCGATGCTGAGTTTATGACAGCTGATTCGTAGATTGGTGATGGTGGTTCTTTGACTTCCGTTTGGAATTTGAAGATAATGTTCTTCATTATAAGTAGATTTGAATAGTCTGTACGAGCGCAGTTTGTTCTTTGTGTTTTTGGATTTGTTGTCATTATGAATTTCGCGTAGGAATTTTTGAAAGTAAATGTCTTTTAAACGTTGGTGAATGGAGGAGATGGTTGCGTGTACTTTTGATGCAATTGATAGGGGGGAATGCCAAACAAAGGCATAACCGCATTCCTCTAAAGATTTTCGTACACCAGATGCCCAACATTTACTACCTAATCTATTTAATTTACAGTAACACTTATAAATGAAAGACGGAAAGAAGAAACCTGATTATTCTCCATTTAAAATCTTTGACAAGTAGCACATGGTACAAATTACTAGTAACTTACAACATGCTTACAGCTAGTTGCTAGTATTGGCTAGTACTACGCGCATGTTCGGATTATGTAATTGATAGGTCAACATACTAGGGGTCGACGCACCAGGGGTCAACGTTCTAGGGGACATCAGGGGGGGAGGGGACATAATAGGAACATGAGTTGGAAACAACATGGCCTAGGACAATACTGTAACCGATCCTCACTTGGGGACAACCCGTCCAAAAAGATACAAAACCATGGTTAACACGCTGGACTAGAAGGCGACAGAAACGATCAACTCGTTTGAATAAATTATGGAAGCGTCTATAATTTATGCAAGGAGCTCAAATGGAAAATTTTGGCCTAGCCTCCTTCCTTCAATAAATGATTTACAAAGACAACGTTTGCAAATTTACGCTTATCCTCTTCAAACGTTTAGACTTTACCTTGGTAACAACTGAAATGCTTCCGTTTCTTCAAGTACAAGGAATCCGGAGCGTCTATAAGAGAGGTTAACATCTTCTTGGACATGTCCTGATCGCAATCCCGGTCCCGGTCTGATCCCGTAGCTCCCGCGAATAAAGCCGTCATGGCTTATTTTCCTATCGTTATTGGAGAAATACGTAGAACTGGCACTCGGCATAAGTCCAGTCAAGATGGTAAGTCATACGTTATAAAAGTTCTCGTCTAGAGTAGATTTCTCAGCCACCGTCCATGCGGCGTGCGGCCCATTCCTGCACGCGGCATGTTGGAAAATTCCATTCCGTAACTAGAGAGTGCAAAGGTGAAGGACAGGATGTTGGGTAAGTGTTGCGTCAGTCGTCCAACCCCAACTCACGAACTCCCTCTACCGATTGATATCAAAACTGCACTCACAGATCCTTGAGCGATTTAATTTGTTTCTTCGAGGATATCTATAAAAACATCAGCCAACACCACACAAGTTTTGCTCTCAGAAGGGGCAGCAAAATTAGAGACATTTCACAGAATATCTGCCAAGAGGCCAGTAAAAAGGGGTGACAGTTGAGACAAATAATCCTACCAAATCACTATCAAGTATGGTCATTTATTGGTGCCTACAAAGTGGGCAAACCAAAGAAATATCTTTAGATTTTGAGTTTGACAACTTCACAAGCCACTCTAGATATGTTATTAAGTGCAATGCATGTATCTTTAAATAGCCACAAACTAAAATCTCTAAAATCTTCACCAATATGCAGGTACATATTAGGAAACACAGACTGTAACACAAACCTGGGACAGCCAGTGCTCTGACCAAACAAGATGTGTGAAAGAACAAAGTCATCCTAACAGGGCTGGGAGTATGAGTAAACCCTTTCAGCTCAGAAACATTATTTGTTTGTCTATATGTGGTGGCCCAGTGTAAAGAAACCTGATCTGACTAAACCAGTGCTAAGACATACTTTTATGGCTGTTGGCAAACAATCTCCCAACAAACAGTCCCAAGGTCAGTTTATAAATATAAACACATGCACAATTTGCCGGTTAAGCAACCCTCATTTGATTTTGTTGTGAATTTCTGGAGAAAAAGGAAAAAAACAATATATTGTATGAAAGAAAGAATTGCCCATTACAGTGACTATTCTATGCTGACAAATGACAGCCAAATAAGACTAAAATTCTGACAGATTCCAAGATATTTCCAAAGACCTTGTCCTCAGGGGTGTCAAGCTTGACCTAGAATACCCATGAATATACAACAGGCCTAGGATTGCTTTGGGTGAGACAAGATCTCTTTAATACATTAATGTAAGTTCAACATTTAAAAAGTACAAAAACATGTATATGTCTGTTTACGAAGTAGCTACTTCACCATTACCTTCACCATCATCATACATATACCGGTACAAAATGCATCAACAGTTGCATAGGCATGATGCATGTACTTCTACAAAATGTCTATTATGTTGAGTACACTTCCATGTCACTGACCAACATCTGTGTCCAGATCACATCCCCTCCCTCTTCTCAAGTACAGATCACCATGAGGAAGGAAGCCAAAGATTTGCTCCAGCAGATACTCCATTTTAGAACAGGGCTTTGCAACTCTTGTCACCACCAAGAGTGGGCCTCAACGTTATGCTTATCACATGGTGTCTGTACTAGTATGCAGTCTGCATACACACTGTCAATATTTATCTTCAACCCTTAAACATCACAGGCATGTATATCTGATACAGGACCAGGACTAAAATTACTTCCCATCTACAGTAGGTAATATTAAAGCTAATACCATATGCTAGTACATGTAGTACCCATAGTACTATGTTTGTAACATAGTCATACTACAGTTCTACATGTCATTATTTCAGGAAAATAGCATGTTTTGTGACTATTTTGGTGACAGGAGGGTAAAAACAAATGATGCAACAGGGGAAAGGGCAGCAGTGTTCAAATTCTTTCCTCTGCAGGGCTGAACATCAGCAAGGATGACTGACAGGCTCAGATGTAGCTCAGGGTTGCAGACAAGAGTTCAGATTGCATACTGGGAGAAGTCCAAATCAACAACATTGGAAGACATGTATGGATAATAACTACCTAGTATGAGCATAAAGAGTCCCTACTGAAATAACATTTATTGCATAATTAACCATAAACCTTTTCAACATACACTTATGAAACATGTTACATTTATTCTGATATTCTGAGCTTGGCACACTGTATTTTATGGCATATAATACATTATATATTAGTACATATAAATATTGTGCAACATTGCCTGAAACCAGTTTGAGTGCATAAAACTTAAACTGCATAGAATTTGTTCCCCCAAACAATACATTCCTGAAGATACAACATGGCTGGGAAAAAAAACATATTTATGCAAAAATTTCAACTTGCATGTAAAATCATAATATTTTCTGACAGAGATGTGGGTTTAATTTCTTTTATAATAAAAAATACAGTTTACCTCTACAACTAAGATTTCAACCCACCTCTTGCATAATCACCAATGGATGCTGTAAATCGCCTTAGTCGTTCTACCTGTACCTCCTCTGGTAAGGTGGGCTGGACCCACATGGTTAGTGATGTCTATAACAGTAAGGGTACGGTAGCCTTACAGCTGCTTGTACATGCCTATCAGGGGTTTGGCAACATGCCAGAACAGTAGTACAGAATAATCGACACTAGGATGATATTTAGTGTCCCTTAAATTACTCTTGCCTTCTAACATGCTCATTGGCATACTAACTTGATACATGGTACACTAAATATAGCCTTGTCTAGCCAAAATAACTGCAGCTGGTTTACTATGTAGGGTGTTTACACTAATACTTATATTTCAGTAGTAGACAGAACAGATTTACAAAGATAGTATATTTCTGTGAATTTGCTCGATCACCCACTCTGTAAAGGCTTTGGAGCAAGAAAATGACAAATACATGCTATACAACTTACAAGACTTCCTAATGTCATAACAATAAACAATATGAAATTCAGTACACTACTATTACTTGGCATATTGTTAAATTACAAGTAAATATCAAACAACACAAAATCAACTCCTGATCCCAGCCAAAGATGTGAGAAGAGGGAAGAATACTGATATGGCAAGCAAAAGAACAAATTTCAAGTTTACATCATGAGTACTTCACTGTATTTGATGAGCTTCGGCTTCCAAGTTATGACAGATCTTCCAAACATATTGCTTCTGGTACAAACCAACCATAAATGAAATCAATATTCTTATAATCTCAATATTGAAATTACACAGTAATATCGAAGCAAAATTCAGCAACCACGGGGGTCAGTCTAGTTTGTCAAACTCTCCGCAGGAATTGTCCCTTGGGCTCTCCTTCAGTTTCTCTGGGAACATCCTTTTCCACTGGTCCCACTGGCGGTTCATGCGCGTGTTTGTGTACTCAAACGCGATGGCTGTGAAGAGGTAAAACAGGTACACCAGTGGGATGACCACCGACAACATAGAGATGTAATACCACGCTGTGGACTGGACAAGGCTCTCCAACATGTTGTTTGGGTTAAAGGTATGAAGTCAAGACAAACTGAAATATCTTTTAGGTACTCGAGACGTCAGTGTTGGGTTGTGTCAGTCTTCAGTGACACCGCAGAAGAACTCCGTGAATAGAATATCTCGTGAACATGTAGCACTGCACTGTAACACTTGGTCAAGGTCAAATTTGAGTCAATATGCCCAACCCAGGAACAACTACCACACCTTCACGCTAAATTCAAGTTGCTATGACAGTGACCTTGGTCCATCAGATAAGGTGTGAGCTCACAATCCACTCAGAAATTCTGTAGATGTTGAATGATGTCCTGTTGGAAGAAGTAGAGGTACCAAGGATTGTTTCTGTTGCTAGAACAAAGAAGACTCAGAACCACTGTTTTCCCTATGTTCCTGGTTTCCACTGACTGCAGTTCAGTTGACACTCTGCAATCTTGAACACATATCTTCCCAAGAGTGAAGTCCTGTTGTAAAAATGATGTTCCAGCGAAGCAGAGGGAATATATCAAAAGATTTCCAGCAAGTCCACATGAAACATTCTCAGTCAGGCAGCCATCTTGAAAATGCTCTAATATGGCCAGCTGTCAAAACAAGGTCTCTGATTGGCTGAGGAGTGGACTATACCATTGTAATTGCAGGGGATGTCAGTATTGTGTTTTAACAAGGACCTCCCTGGTTTTAGTGTTTTTAGATGTAGCAAGAGGATTGTTGGTGGTAGAAAATAAAATGATAAATGTCAGTAAAATATTTCTAATACATGTAAGTACATGTACCTAAATAACTGTTGTTCATTTGCGTTACTTACTTACTTACTAGAACTTACTAGGAGCTAACCTTAGATATTAAATGTTACATTACATTGTATGTAACTTACTATTGTAAGGTCATGAATGGTACAGGTTACTAGTATGTTATAGTTTTATCATGTTTACTGGCTGGTAATAAATGTAAAACCACACATACCCAGAAACATAAGGTCAGCATCCTGTCCATCTAGTCGTAAAGCCATTTCTGGCTTGAAAACAATGATGTCTCACTTTGTCAGAGGGGCAGTGCAATCAATCATTAGTATAATAGAATGCTGTTTAACTTGTAAAGAAACATGACTTATATGGCAAAAAGAAACCTTGGGACTGAAAAGGTTCCAACACAAAAAATAGTTTAAGATCAAATGCTACATAATTCTGAAACATGTTGCCCCCTTTGGTCATATTATGGTATATGCCTGACCTTATTAAAGGTCAAACATTCTAAAAACAGATCTGTATTGACAATTGTACACAAAGTCATAATATCAAGCCTATACATGTATACAATGACAATTGAGCATCCATACTACTACTCAAAATATTGTTATCATTGCACATCGCAATTACTAAGTAGTATTGACAACAAAACCTTCAAGTGCCAAGATAATATATATGTATATCTACATGTAGGAAGAATTCAAACCTGTTTCACTTTTCCATTGCACATGAGGGGTCCATCCTGCAGTATCAAGCTTGTAGACAACCATGAAATACCAGTGAAAGCTCAGGACGACAACAATAATAGAGATGCCAACCAGTAAAACTTCAAGAAATACTGCAAGCATATCTATGTACTCATAGTATTCACATACATATGTAACGTTATGTATGCTATACTGCTATCTGGTACTGTGTAGATTGAAGGACAGCAAGCTCCCAGGGTAGGTCAACCTTTTGAGAGCAATGCCCCCTGGTGAGCTTGACTATATTTGCAAGTGTACTGCACTCCTGGAGTTACAAAATTGCATGATTGGATGATGCACATATGTCCTCATCATCCTAAAAATCACAATTGTTGCTCTATATCAAAATGAGATATATATAACATCAAAATAATGACAAAAATGTCCAGTTTTGATACTCAGCTTAGCATCATGACATCTGCAGGGAGAGTGCCAGCATTTCTGACATGTTGACTCTGGTGCAGCAACATTGTCTCCATAGCACTCCAATCTATACTTGTGGTCCACACACATGCATTATACCACACTGACAGCAAATACACCAATGTGCAATACAATACAATACAATACACCAACATGCAATACAGCCAAATGTCTGAGATGCAAATTAAATCTAATATTAGTACAAATGTATGATATACATGTATGGTGCAGCTAAATAGCTTTGCATATAGTTGACCTCTATGTCCCATGAAAGTAGAAATGTTTAATGATACATGATCCTGTAACATGATCTGTGTTGACAAAACACATAGAGGAACATTGTAAAGATCCGGTACCAAACAGTCTTATGCAAAAATGCTATCCTAATTTCTAAGTAGATGAAAAATAGACAGATCTTCAAGTGGTAAAGTCCAATTTTGCCACTGGATGATCTGTTTGGAGATTGATGCTGCCCTACTTGCGGTTCCATTTATGTCCCTCAGATCCACCATCCATCGGATAGCCTCCTGAATCTCTTCTGTCCTGGCCAAGTTTGTCAGGTCCCTTGCCATATTTTGTACAGATGTACAGTGATAATGTCTACTACTGTAGTGCATATACCCTCCCACTTCAAAGATGCATGAAGTACACTCACTCAAACTCTGACCTTTGACCTATACAACATTGCCTGTCACATCATGGTAACTACATTTACTACAATATCTTTTAGGAACAGAGCATTCTGGGTGCTCATTTTAAAAGTAACTTTTTTTTATCAAGTAGCTTCTGATGAATACCTAATTTAAAAAATACTTGATCTGTTGGCATCTTTGGAAAAATGTTTTTATTGAGACACCTGCTACTGTATATTGTGTTGTCCAGTTGCAAAGGCTAGCCCTTTAAATTAAAATAGCCTCTGGCTAGTTGGGCATTTCTGGTTCTGTGTCATTTTATACATCCTATATAGTAATAAATCAAATCCCTCACTCTGGTAAAGGAAAGATGTCCTGATTGGATATAAGGATTAGAAGAATAGGTAAAAGCAGGATTCTTACCACCAGGTGGCTCAATGGCCATTAGTCTGTTGCTGGCAACGAACTCCATCATTCATAGGTTGTTAGGAAAAGCAGCAAAGCCTGGAGGGCAGGTCAACACCAATGAAAAGGTTAGAAATTGTTGGCCCACAAGATGGTTTACTAGTGTTATTTTTGACATTTATAACTGATGGGCAGTACTCCTTGCTAACTACTGTCTTTTTTTCCCTAACATCTAATCATTTTTATCATCCAGGACATCTTTCTCATAAACTTATATAATCTTGTGTCATTTCATTTGCTACATATTTTCCTGCCCTCCAATGCTACTGTTTCTTTTCCTGGAAGTATTAATGTATATATACAATATTCAATGACAGCAAGATGCTATGTGCAAGCATATGTACAGCATGCAGATACTAATTATTAGTTACTTATAGCTTTTGCATTGTCACTCCACAAATACAGTTTTTTTATTAAACTGTATGCTACTGACAGTGTTTGTCTATACTATTTTGTACAGGCATTACTTTTACTTTTAGTAATAAACATAATGGGATAAGGTAGTAAATGTATTAGTATTTTTGTCAGGGACACCTACCCATGTCACCTGTAACACACATCAAGTTGTGTCTCTTCAGCATCGTGTGCAGCTATGAACACCTGTAAAATGATTCATTTCAATCAAAACTCAAGTTAGCAAATCACTGCCAATTTTCCAATCAGACCAATAAAATATTGATGATCAGATGTCAAGTAGTAATCACTGTCAAATATTATTTTCAAATCAGATTGATAAACTATTGATGATCAAATACCACCTATTCTTTCTAGGTCAAATGCATACATCACATTCACATATAGTAACGTTGTTGTTGTTGTTGTTGTTGTTGTTGTTGTGTTTTAGACTTCGTAAAAAAAACCTTGCAACTACACGACTTCTACTTAAAAACCTCCTTTGAACGATTGTGTATCTATCTAAATATCCATACTATCCTATTTCATAGATAACGGAAACAACCTTTTCAGAAGATATCCGTGACAGCGTCCAACAGCGTCGAATAAGGCTTCAAAAACACAAATTTACTCCAAGTTTTGGAACTTTCCGCCACTTCACAGATGGTAACCTTTGAACTGTAAGAATGTGACCCCTGATCGTTTTCCCCCTAAGCCAATCAGCGCGCGGTTAACGTTTCCTTCCGTGCGTGACTTGAATTTCATTAGGAGGGCGGCGATTGGTCCACATTGGACGGCTGTCTTCTGCAAGCATGCAGGTGAGAAGAAATATGAGGTGAGCCCGCAGAAGATTGGCCAAAAATGGCTAACTTATTCGAGAAGCTGTCCTTACAACGACATGGCAAGGATAGTGACAGTTCAGGGAACGAACAGGATGGACAGGGTGAAAGAGAAAACCTTGACAGTGAGGAAAATGCGAGCGTTGATTCTGACAATTTGCTGCAGTCCGAAAACAACATGGAGGGCGAAGGCAGCATGGGGGAGGGCGAGACGTTGTTTGAAGAAGAAGAAGAAATTCCGGCCCTACCCCACGAAGACCCGGGCAGGATTTCTGAGGCCATGAAGAGCTTCACTATTCCACGGAAGAGATCTGTGCGAAAAGGTAAGGCTTTTGTTTTGAATACTTGAAGAAAGTTTTGTTGATGTTGTGTCTGAGTTGTTGTTGTTTTATGCAAATTTCTTGCACATTAGGCTCAAATTATGAGGAAGTCGTAAAGAATCTGAATACTTGTTTGTTTGATTTGAACAGTATGGACGTTGTTCTTCACTGTTTCTATTGAACAATTTATCTTTATAAAGTCGTCACTGCTAGCTCAGGTACAGGTCAATTTACCTTACATATAAATCAATATTTAAAAGTGTCAATTGAAATTACGTATGTCTAGGAGGCCAGATCAACTTGCATATTCATTTTATGGATGCATATTCATTTTATGGATAAAGCCAATCAATAGCAATAAATTGGCCAGACACATGAATACCCTTATTTATTCTTGAGTCTTGTGAATGTGAGTTGGCTACAGTATTTACTAAGTATCTGGATTGAATAATTTTCACTTTTCTTTAGCCATGCCCACTGTTGTACTAGTAGCTGATTCCCTATGTCAAAATCACAACACTGGTATCACTGCCTAATACATGTATGGACAAGTTTGCTGACAGCCAAGCTCATGTAGCCAAGTTCATGTATAGCAATACAGCAACTTGTGAAAATAGAAATGTTGGAGACTGACACTACTGTAAGTACTTAATCCAGGATAATATTTAAATTTCATCCACTCTGAGCAGGTAAGGTGTTGTGTAGCTACTTTATCATGTGCATGTTGTATTGTAACTTGAAAATGTTGTCTTTCAAAGGGTAAACTTTATTTGGGTTTGTTACTTCTCTGAATGTGATTATACTGACACATTGCACTAGTACATGTTTGTTGTCAGTTGTTATATTTGCTTACAATTGTACTTATAGCAATGATGCTTAGTTTATTTTTATGCTTGTACATTGTAATGATTGAATACATGTTGCATTCATCAAATTATTATTTTACAAAGAAAAATCATTTTGAAAATCCAGATACTGAGATAGGATATGTCTTACAGTCACAGCATTGGTTTTTTACAACATCAACTTTTCTTAGAAACCAAGATATCATATACAAGTTATCATGTGCATGTTGTCACCAGTGGTACACAACAGTCTGTATGTCTCGCAAGGAAAGGACTTCCATCTCTAATAGAGTTTGGTTCCTAGACACATCTGCAGAGTATAGAAGTCATAGGTTAAAAGCCCTTACCACAGCTAATGATAGCCAGATGGCTGTTTTGCTGTATCTGACATTGTCACGGCCTCCAGTAGTGTATTATCGTGTATATACAGATGAGGTAATGTAAACAGGATGAACTTTTCACTCCATTCAGCATGCCTTGAATTATTGCCAATGGCCCATTTCTGTCAAATGTCTTTACTGTCAGTGTGTAGAAATATGTAGATGGGTTAATGCATCAGAGTAGGTATAGGTGTCGGGGAGAATTGGGCCCATTTTAGAATGGCTGAACAGGCTGTTCATGGATTTATTAGTAATTGCTGGGTAGGGTGTATACGTTTGTACATGGTATATACTTTCTTATATTATATACCGTATACCCATCTGACTCTGACCTAGGATAAACATAAAGGTGGGACCAGTTTATGTCAACAAGAAAAAGAGAAGTCTGCATATGCATTAATTTATGGACTGAATTGTGCAAGACTTCAGATCTATGTTGGTACCCTGGCATCTACTTTGAAAGCTGTTGCAATAGTGGGATAGCCCTTTTCTGCGGCATCTTTGCCTCAAGAGAATCTAATACATGTGATCTCCTTGTGTGATGTACATGTATCATGTTCCAAACTAACATCACCAACATTTGTCTTCATGGGAAAGGACACAGCTTTTATCGAATTCGAAGCAGCAATTATGGCAGGTTCTTAGCTGTATTGATCTTACTTAGGTACCGGATCTAATTTTGTACAGAATCCTGCTTAGAAGGACTTTATAATATAAGTCCTGGTTTGACCCCGTGCCGGGATCAATCCAGATCTGCGCAATCCCCGCTGGTATGAAACTTTTACTAAGTTTTTAATTTTAGAAGGCTCTTCCAGGAGTTGTATCTGCTTACTCAGCTAATACCTGTGGATCACAGTTTTCATTTGTTGCAGTTTGTATATACTTTTCTGATTATGATTCAAGGTTGCATATACCGATACAGTATGCATTTCTTAGAGCTTCAAACACAAGATACACATGGCCAATTTGGCAAATATTGATCTGATATTACCGGGTATCAAAATCAATAAAGTACCTGTATTATGTGTATAGCACTCTGCTGTTTACAAAACTGCAGCATCTGTGTACACAGTGAATGTATAGATTATTTATATATATTCACAAACCAGTCCAACAAGGTCACATATTTTATAACAAGAACAGTAAATGTCAAGTGATCTTTGATCTGTTAACATGTCTCTTCGAGAGGGTAAAAAATGTACCGGGTCTTGTACTGTTTAGTCCCAGGGTTCTAGCCAGCGTCCATTTTTCTGTCATTTGACGGAATTTTGCCTCTTGTAACAGACTAAATTTTTGCCTGATCCTTCAAATTTGTGAGACCGAAATCCGATCCATGCATGTAAACTGTAAAAATATGGGCAGAGCTTCAATTTTTTGAAAGATCTACAGAAAATGTGCACAGGAAATTAGTGCAAATTTTCCACGTAGCAGATTTAGATAATTTCTAACGCCTGCCAGGGCCCGGCACCGACCCCAGCTAGCCTGTAAAACAGAGGCGCCGTGGTTGCCCGCGTCAGCGCCACGTGCCCCTGTCCCCACTCAAGTTCTGGCTGGTCATGTAACGTGCCGATGTGCCTTCGGTGCTCGACAAGTGGGGTGACAGAAAAAAATTTTTAGGCTGGCTAGAACCCTATGTAGTCCCACATTTTTCAGCCTGTGACTGTGTGTAAATCCATTGTATTTACTCTTTGCATGGTATTGGAAGGCGAAGCCTTTTACCTCCCCAACCAAAGGCCCAATTTACATGGGACAAAATTATATCTGTCCTGACACGTTTGATGCACGGCACTTGCAAGTGTCCAGGACAGTTTTCATTTTACACACATCAACTGCAATCCCCCTGAGAATCACCTGTGGTAACCCTCCCTCCAATTTGAGTTTGAGTGCTTGTTTTGTTGGTAGTATGGTTGTTGATTCAACTTACTTTGTTAAGAAAATGTGCTTTTTGTGTCATCCTAACGATCCAATCATTGCAACATCATAATGCAGTTTTAATTCAAGGCCTCAGTTGCTTATTGTGTTACATAATTACATCCAACTTGAGTCACTTGCTGGTAAAACCTGTTTCCCTCACAAAGATTTCATTCTGGACAGTCTCACAGTCACACCCAACTCTTTTACAGATGTCATCATGAGCATTCTGTATCAACAAGTATAAAAGGGTTGCTACTTCCTAGTGAAAAGCGACACTGTGACTGTGAGAAATGAAAACAAACCTACAGTTGGCATGACTGCCAGATTAAAGAAAAATGCCCAGGCGATACATGACCCCATTCATACCAGACTTTTTAAAACCAGTTGAAACCGCTAGATAAGTAGTGGGGGAAAACCCAGCTAAAACCTCTAGCAAGTCCGGTGAATATCCAATATATCAGCCATGATTGCAGTTTGAATAACTGTTCCTCTCGCTCTTTGGATTGTTGTCCTCAAGGCCTTCTTCAGGTTCTTTATCTTACTGTGGCACTGATCCATTATCTTCAACTAGAAACTATGCTCCCCCAACTTGACCGAAATTTCCAGGTTAAGATTTTTGTTCCTGTAGAGTCCTCACCCACAGCCCCCTCCCCACAGCTTTTTCGGCGACTGGCCTGCTCTATAAAAATAGTTATCAGTAGCTTGGTCTCGTCCGCCAACCAGGTTGCGTATGTTGATTACATCACAAAATGGAGAAAAAACGCGGAAAAACAGTGGATACGAGCTCAAAACAATGTGATCAAAAAAAGCTTGAACCCACACGGCTGACATCATGAACCCATACTTATGACGTAAAAACCGGTTGAATAAACCCTCAGGGTTCAGACCAGGCTTTTTGGTGGAAGAACCCCTCAAAAACACTTACCCAACCACCTCGCAAGGTTGTTTTTGAAAATCAGATTTAAAGTTTAAATTAAACCCCTAAAAACCAGTTGGTTTGCGTTCACACTAGGCTAAATAAAAAACATTTTTTCATTTGAGTGGTTTCAGCCATTTTTTTAAAGTCTTGTATGAACGGGGTCTAAACTAATATAATAAACTGGTTGATGTACCAACCACTAAGTAAGTGCCTAATACCAGCTCAGAAAAGAGCAAGAGATATTCATTCCTTCAAGTACCAGAGTTATCATCCAAGGATTGAGGTGTTCAAGTTTAAAACCTTATAATTATATACCGTATATATTATAAGAGCAGAAAGAATAGTGGTAGTGGACGGTTTTTGGACTAAACAAAATTTTTAATGGAATTTGTTAAAGGAAATTTCCACTCATTAAACATTGTACACATCGTCTCACGTACAATGTTTATCATACTCTTGCTTTAGGTATGTAGTTCCTGCTCACTATAAATAGAATAGTGTAGATATTAGACTTGTAATTCTGTAATACTGTTTGACAGCTTGTAACACGTTGTATAAGTTACAATCCTTGTAACAGTGAAGTTGATTGATTGGTATAAATTAGATTGGAAATGCAGTTGTGTTAAATTGAAAATGTGCAAAATCATAAGCATTGAACATTCGATAGAAGTACATCATATCGTCTGTCTTTTTGATTTTATGTTTTACCTTTTTGCAATTACAGGGTCATGGTATGTTTTTAGCTACATGCCTAAGCATCCTATTTGTATATTGGGGCTCTCATCTTTGCTCCATAAAAATATTCATACATTATCGGTATGATTAAATAGATTTACTGGAACATATATGTAGTCTCACATCACATGATGTCTTTCATACATGTTTGTGTTGGTTCTCAATTTTTTTGTGCACATGTTTTTCTCATGTAGAAAAGCCCAACCTCATAAAATCATGTGTAATTGACAACTGTGACTTACAAATTGATCATAAATCTAATCTATTACTCTATCAGATATTTTCCTTTCTACTTAATAATTGTAATATCAAGTTATTTGTTGAGCAATTTTCTCCTTTTTAATAATTTAGTTCTTGATATGAATTGTTGTTTGCACATAATATAAGTATCGGTTGAGTAGACATTGAGTATAGCTTTTGCCGATTTTATAATAAATAGATTATTACCGTGGCCCAAGCAATGTAGAGTTATATATGCCACACCTGTCATGTATACCAGTTTGTGTAGTTTAACTTTTGAGTCTGTATCTTAGAGTAACAATGTGATTGTTTGGGTTGTATCCTATACCTGGCTTCAAGATTGCAAATATTTTTTTGTTTCTTAATGTCCATCCTCCATACATGACCTACAGTCTTTTCTTGCATGTGTTGTGACAAAATCTTGTTCCCTAAAGCGTCATTAGGTCCTGTTCGTGATGCAAAAAATGGAAACAGTTTGATTCGTTTTGATAGGATTATTGGATTATTTGTGAACGTGAACACTCCAATATGTTTTGATCCATTTAATTCCAGATCAACTCCAAAGGTAGTCTGTAACAATCTTATACAACAGTTTCTGAGAATTATTATCATGACATGAACACGTGGAACTGTTCGCCTTCCTGTTTATATCTATGAACCAGTTCAAATTCTAAGCTAAGGGACCTATTGTACATGTGTGGAACCCTTGGAACGGAACTTGACTTGAGTAAGAAACTGGGTTGCAGGCTTCTTCCTATTGTTCCAGCACTGTTCCAAAAATAAATTTCATTTGTCCCGAAGTGAGAATGAACTGTCCCAACCTGTTTTTTGTATTGTACAATAGACTAGTATTGTATGACTTCAACTTGAAGTTAAAGTCAACTTTATTTTGCTTACGTTCTGACTCCCAGGCATACTATACATGTAATTGCATAGACAGGCAATAGACAGGAAATTCCGGGGGGACTTTTCCGGAGCCAAAAGCAAGTACGTGTGCCTGATAAACAAAAGAAGGGCTGACATTCTGATATTGATTATTATTGTTCTGTTGTCCCAAAAATTTCCCAAAGTGTCTTTGTAGTTAGTTGTCCCAACCTAAATTTTAGTGGTCAGTAGCCATCGGGACACCGTTAATTTTGAGCCCTGGCATCTAGATCTATAACCATCTACAATGTAGACCCTTTTGACTTATCTTAACTTACATGTGTACATAGGGTAAAACTAAAATGTATGTGCATTGTACACTAAGCTGTATCCTGTGTGATTCTCTGTACTCGCTGATTCATCTGAAGAAATTGATAGCACCATTATGACGTAAACAATGTAAACCAAATTGTTCATGTGTTATGCACATTATCCCCCAAATAACCTTGGTCTCTCCTCTATTGAATAGCATGTACCTAATGAAATAGAAAGTCATTTGGCTGTGTGCCTACTGATACTGAAGATCATTAGTACATTGCATACTATAATCTCCATTATGTAAAGAAACATGAATATCCATTAGCTTGTTTGATAAACTGTGTTACAATATATCCCATGGGAGCCCATGTATAATAGAGTTGGATTGACAAGTTTCTTCCTGCAACATGGCTCGAATTTCATTTCTGGGAATAGGTGCACTGGTGCACCCGACCTAAAGAAGTTGGTGCACAAAAATTGTTTGGGTGCACCATGTAAAATAAAATAAGTAAAATTTCAGCAAATATTAATTATGTATCATAACATAAACCTACAAAAATATTTAGGTGCACAGAAAAAATTGGGTGCTCAGCTCCAAATTTTGGTGCCCCAGTATTTAGAGCCCTGTGCAATGAATGATAGTATAGCATACATTGTAGTATAACCATACAGTGACTTACGTGTACAATCTACACAGGCCTATGTCTCATCATATGTACTTTGACCATGCCAGTACATGGACTGTTGGGCCATCCCAATTTCGCCTTTACACACAATATCACCCAGCTTGCAAATGGAATTTTCTTCTTCAAAATGGGAATAGCTGGTTGGGAGGGATGTCCTGGATGACGATGTGTGACTTAGATAATTGGTCACGTTGGTGACTTGAATGGGACTAATACTAATATTAGTAATAAGACTGAACTGATCCACAATTATAATATACTAGTATCATTACACATTGTTTTGTTTATTAGGGTTTACGTGTGGTAAGAATTGCATCATTCTTGTTTCATTCGGCCATTTTTCCCTGCTGACATCTGCTTGATTTTCATTCATGATATTGCCACTTTACAATTGATATTGCCACTCTCTTTCATTCACGAAAATTTGCGACTCTACATGCAGAAACAAAATTGCATTTGAGGGGGTCAAGATTTCAAAATTTACTTGGGTAACATGTCCCAGATCCTCCTAGGGGAGGTGCTACACCTAATGCCTTAGCCTTCGAACATGATGTTATGTTTTGTTTAACAAAACGGAGACGACAGAAGAAAATTTCAGGCTGCATACATGTAACTACATTCCTCCATACACTTTACCTGTAGTGTCCACTTTCATCTTAATGTTCACTTTATCATTCCATCTGTCCTTTCACCACACAGAACTGCTGGAGGAGATCTCCCTGACGTCCCGTGAGTTCACCCATGAGCTGCTCCCTCAGATGTCCCTGTGTTACAGGGATCCAGTCATGAAGAACAAGATCAAACACCTCAAAATCTACATGGTTCACAACCAGGAGCTAGTCAAGGAGGTACATCTTTTTAATTGTCTTCTCACTGTTATAGAGGGGAGGTAGACCAACAGTTAACATTGTTTTTTCTTAGAATTGCAATTGAAATATGCTACCAAATGGATACAAGTTCAAGGTAATGCCATAGATAATGACGAACAGTATTTGTATGAAAAAAAAGATCACAACTTGTTTCTCAACTTCTGGTGTTTTGGTCTGTTGGAGGCAGATGCTTAAAGAATGTTTTTGTGAGTGTTTGGTCTTCTGTATTTTGATCATTGTCCATAATTCTTTAAGTTGAATTAGAAACGTCTCTGACTCAATATTGACATGTATAAAGAAGCCCTGTTTGTATTGATATGACTTCTGTGTCTTTCCAGTTCCATGAGAAGAGAAGAGAGATGAAGGGGGAGGGCAGGACAGACAAAGACCTGACAGAACAGCTATGTTTCCTGTGTTTGGACACCTTTGAAGATGTAAGATATTATAACTTGTAGGCGACAACTTTGAACTATTGTCAGTAGCTAATTTGGTTTCTTGCTCATCAAAACTGCCTACTATGATCATTAAGAGCCCTGGTCATACAGTTACAGAAAATATCAATGTTGTAGTCTCTGTCCTTGGTGCTGAAATGCAATCTATTCAACTAAAGAACACAATTATGAAGGGGGGCAGGACAGCTATGTTTCCTATGTCTGGACACCTTCGAAAATGTAAGATAAACTTGTGGGAGATTATTTGGAACTAATAAGTTATTTGGTTTCTTGCTCATCAAAATGTATACTACAATTACAAGCCAAGTTAGCCAAAGTGCCATCAGTTTTGTAATAGAGTTCCTTGCACTTGACCTGGATATTTTCTATATTTTTATATTTCTGTACAAGATATATCAGTAAGAATAATTGTGAAAAACTGTAAGTTTGCACTGCTTCTGTTCACCAGGCCCAGAAGGTGTGTCAGACAGGACTGATGGTTGGGAGCAGCTTTCTGTCCAGCCTAGGACATCCTAACATGGGTAAGTCAGGTCACACAGCCACAAAAATACATACTACATAGAACACACTGTTCTACAAAGCTTGTTCAAATGGTGCATAAAAGTCAGCAAACTTTGCAAGTTCACTGATTTTTATATTTCTGAAAATGTAGAATCAGAAAATTATGGATAAATCACTGATACAATGCTATGATACGATATCTTGATAAATGACCAAAAGTTCATATCTTTCCAGGTGTGTACGTGTCCAGGTATGCAGATATCATCAAGCCTGGGCCCCTTATAAATGGCACAAAGGGATTCCTTGTCATCTTCAAAGTCATCAAGGTAAGGTACTCCAACTGTCCAGCCTTTAAAACTTTTCAGAAAAACTTTCTCATAATGCATCACCAGGGCTCAAATTTCGACCTTACAGAATATATTAATGTTGTAGACCCTGTCCTTGGTGCTGAAATGCATTCTAATCAACTAACAAACACAATATACAGTTTTTGAGGTACTTTTTCCTTGCCAAAAAAAACATGCTTAGAGAACACAACTGCTTTAGAAAGTTAAGTTCAGTATAACTAATTGATCTCCATTGTTTTGTACTTACATTACAGGGGAAGATGAAGTCAGTGGTTGAGAACAACTCCTGGAATTTCACAGAGCCAACACCAAACTTTGACTGCCATGTGTCCAAAGCATTGGCTGAAATAGGGAGCCTTCAACCTAACCAGGCCTTCCATGCAGCACAGGTACCTTTAACATCAGTATACTAAAGAATATGGAAAGGCCATCCATGTACTTTAAGGTGTATGTATCAGGATAGATACTCTGTACTACCAGTACTAGTAAACTTTAATGGGGATCTCCTCACATATATAATGAATTAAAAGATAAATGAATACTCAAGAAATGTTTATTTCATCAAATTTGATATTCTTGTATGTCTAAATATAATGAATAGTAATCTTAGTCATTCTTCTTATAACAACTCCTGCATGCAGGTATTTCAATGAGAATTCTTTAATCAATTGCAACATTCTTCCATGTCCACAGTACTACTTGTATGAGTTTGGAGACCTGGACATGCTGAAGCGCCCTCGACATGTCCTTCCATACGCTGTGGTGCAGTTTGAAGTGTTTGGGGGGTCCCAAACCTTCCCCCTCATGGCTTCATCAACACAGACAAGGTATGTGGGAGTCAGACAATCAACCCACTTGTCTAGACCAACTGCTTACACTAATGTACATGTACAGCCTTTTGCATATTAATCGTTGGCATGACAAACAAATGTAGTGTGGTATGTTAACTGCCCACATAAAGAGGATATTTTTCACCAATGTTATGTTGCTGTTGAGTTGGTTTATACAGAGGTGAACACTTCTGACTTAAACTATTCTCAGTGCTGTACTTGCCAGCCCTTGGGACCACTAGAAACATGATTTTGACAAACAGCTATGTTTCATAACACAATTGGTTCAATATGGTTATAACAAGCATATCGGTAGAAAGTACTGTGTATGTACCACACACAGATTTTTCAGCTTTCGTTGGATGTTTGGTCAACGCTGTATCAGAATTTAGCCTGTTGCATATGATACCTAATTTCTGACCCAACATTTGAAAACTACAGAAGGAATGTCAGCCATGAATATGAAAACAGGACCTTACATGAGACATTCTGAAAAAGTATTGTGCACAATACAATGTACATGTGCAGTCATTACATGTCTGCCCATATGCTGTTATAACAAAGTTGTAGCTACAATGATATAATTCTTTTTGTTGTCAGGTTACCCCAGAGACCACACCCATCCTACCCACCAGCCAGTACACCAAGACCCTCCAGTATGTCTCATGCGGGACCATCCTACCCAAGCTACCCCTCAGCACAGACTGTAGAAGGTGGGTACATTATGATTGTCGAATTTCATTTTGACTAAAAGGCACATTGTTACAAATTTTCCATTAATGAATGTAGAATTCCAGAGTAGCTTCCAGAGTAGTTTCGTGCCATCATTTTATGACTTTTATATTGATCATAGTTAATCTTTTGAGGAAATACAAAGAAATATTAATTGTAATCGAACAATGACTAAAGAAGTCCAAAGTACCTTGAATGTTAAAGAGCATGTAAAATAGTATTTTCTTTTAAAAGAAAGGACAGTTTTTTCTAACTACATGTAATTTCTTCATTCATGCAGCTAGGAGACCACAAATGGATCTGACAGAGGAGGGTTATGAACTGTGGACAGGTCAGCTTGTGAACAAGGAGAATCCTGTGTGCGAGATCCAGCTACGGTCACCCACGTGTACTCTCCTGCCCATACAAATGTAAGACAACCCCTTTCACTGTTTTTTTAGGCTCAATGTGTGCATACTGTATAATGCACTTTGTCTTCACTGTAGCAAAATTTCACAGAGAATAGATATGTTGACAGAACTTCTTGGTGGTGGCAAGTACGGGGGGGGGAGTCAAAAGACAAATGATTTGATGATGGTAATGATAAGTTGACAGTTCACGGTACAAAAGTGACTGTAAAAACAGTGGACATAAAATTACAGTGAAGAAAAAACAGGAATTACAGTATAATGTTGTATTCTTAAGCAAAGGTCACTGTAAAAAATGCATGTAGTGCATGTCCATTGTATTGTGAGATACATAGTCATCCAACTTGAAAGTAAATCTCAAACTCTTCACAGAATGTACACCATTTATGTGTAGTAGGATTCGTCTACATATCTCATCATAGGTGTAATTTATTGGTCCAATAACGAGGCAGTTTCTTCATGATTTTTTAATTGTGAATGTTGTATTTTTTTTAGGGAAGAGCAGATCTGTGTAAGTGGCAGGATTCCCTTCCATAAGCTACAGAAGAACCTGCCTTGTCCCATCTTCACCAAGCTGCCCAAGGTGTCAACTTACAGGGAAGGTGAGACCAAGTAGCTTTTGTGTATTGGCAATACATAAGGCACACAGATTATTCTCAGGGTTTGAAATACCTTCTGCATATGCAGGTTAGTGCATGTAAGATTGGAGCTGTGCAGGTATTTATGATGTTGTATGTACCAGGCCATGTCCTGGGTTTATAGCTACATGTATATGTGGACTGGTATCTGGTATCACATACATTTTAAATGAAGTGGAAAAGAAATAATGGCAATTGTTCTGGTCAGTTTTTACTAAAAATATCATCTAAACTTCTCTCCCTTTACAGTTCATGTTGGTGACAAACACTTTATCTACTGTGAAGTGAAGGCTTTGCTTGATGTTGAGAACAAGCTGGTCTCACTGCTTAACTTCATGGAGAAGAGAAAAGAGGTTGGTAGCCTTTGCTCCTTAACAGTTATGATGGTAAATAAATTTATGGTATAGGACAGTGTGGCTGTGATGACTCTGACAACTCGACATGTGAGAATCAAGTGTTAGAATTGATCCAGGGTGAAGTGATGTGCCATATCAGGGTTTGAAATACTTTGCCCGCTGGGCAATCTAAGCCAAAAGATAGGTTACCCATCAATAATTGAGGTTGCCGTCAAAGCTCGATGTTCATTTTAGAAGGCAAGAAATAAGCCAGGCTTAGATATGCTTAGATATGCTGGATGTGGCGGGACATAGTTTATTTCAGAAGTCATAAGTTGGGCCAACTTTAGTTGCTTTGTATGCAAATACATGTAAATGATAAAAATGTTGGCAACCTCTTGTCTCCAGTGAGCACCAAAGTACAGGACATGATCGGCAAGAGTGCGAGAGTGGGTATTTCGCACCCTTCATATGATGAACAGACAGTGTTTTTAGTGCCCCAAAGATAAGCCGTCTGAGCTGACACCTGTTTTTGTTTCCAGGCTTGTGTAGCTGTCCTGCCGGAGGGAGTGCAGCTGCTCCTCTTCCCCAGCTGTCAGATGGCACAAGACTTAGGTATGCAACATGGCAGTTGCATTCATTAGTGTGACATCTTATTATTATATAGTTGTTTGAATTAGGTTCATACCTCTGTAAGCAACAACATGTAGTCCTTATGAGGACCACCTAAAAGAGTAATGAAGGATATTTGTGGAAATGCTCGGATATACAAATATTACTTATTACTCCCTCTCTCTGCAGGTATCATTGACCCCAATTCCCCCATGATGCTCCATGGGTTGTTTGTGTCGCCTACCCCTATGCTGGGTTCCCTCAGAGGTTTGTTTGTTTGTTTGTTTCATCTGAATCTCCATTAGTGTATTGAATTTTACACTGCTTTTTCCTGGAGTTAACAAGGTTGATTGTATTATTTGTAGGTTGGTTATATTGTTTGATTAGATATGAAGTGGGGTGAAATAGACTGTCCAATATAATAATGAATAGCTTTGTTGCAAGTTCATGCCCAAAGGCTAATTGCAAACAGACAAACAAATAACAATACATGAAACAGCAAAAACAAGATGTAGTATAGATTGGACCAGTTCACTTGTGCAGCCTTTGCTCATTCAGTAAAATGGTACCTCAATACCTTATTTCAATAAAAACAACATGCTTGTCCTGGGATCAATCAAATTTTAGTGCCACAATAACATTTTCCATTTGTTCACGTAGGCTTCTTTTGCTCACGTGTTGTCTGCATCTTGAAGTAGTTGCCACTGTCTTGTGACTAGATAAAAAAATTCCGTTGATTGAAGGACAATGGCTGACAAAAGGCTTAACTTGTTTCCTACAGATTGTAGCCTGAGGAAGAACATCAAAGCCCCCGTGGATGGCTCGTCCCTGTATGCCTCTGCCTCTCCTGCTACACCCTCCTCCTCTGCAGCAGAGTCAGAGTCTCCCAAGACACCCAAGGTGGACACAACGGAGCTCAGGAGTGCCATGATGCAGGTAAGGCCTAGGAAAAAAAATGTTGTGTTTCCTGTTTCCTGACTGACCCTAGAAAAAGCTGCCGACCCTAGACTTCTTTTTGTGTGGACCCCTGCAAGGGACATAAATTTTTCAAGCTGATCAACCTTTTCTAGCTCCATGATTTGACACCTGAGTGATGAAACGTTGTACAATTGGTTTTCTAATATTGACATGAAAATAAAAGTGTCCTCATGCAAGTTTTACTTTATTTAAGTGTATTGTATAAGAACTGATATCACTGAAGTCTAAGAGCCCCAATCATACAGTTACCTTACAGAAAATAGCAATATGTCCTTGGTGCTGAAATTATCCACTAAAAACACAATACAGTTTGTGAGGTGCTTTTTTTTTTCTTGCAAAAAAATGTGCTTAGAAAATACAACTGCTGTAGAAAGCCCTGACATCACATGATAGTTTGCATAGTGAAGTTTAATCCTGCAGTGGACATTGGCAGGACTTTTCATGGTAGGTGTACCACATAAATAAGTGTGTTATTTTCTTCCAAAGGTATTTGAGCTTCAGAAGATGCAAGCGGAGGGAAACATGACTGTCCAAGATTCCATCCAGAACCTGGAGAGACAGAACCTGCTGCTACGCACGCTTCAGGCCAAGGTGGAGGTTCACAGTAAGACCCTGGCCGAGGCTCAGCAGAAGAAGGTTCTTCAGGAGACAGATGCCTTTGACAACACAGACTTCACTGTTCCCAAGTACCCCATTGTGTCGCGTCTACAACTGGAGCAGTGTTTTACACATCAGCACTCATTCAACCATGTAAGAGCTCACATGCCTACATGAAAGTACATACCAATTTTCAAGTAATCTCTGTATTTTTTGGTGATAAAAGTGCTATAGGAAATGGTACATAAGGTTATATCAGGCAGATTAAACAAGTTTAATGATTGTATTACTTTTACAATCTGAAACTTTTCAATTTGCAAGTACAAAATGTATACAAACAGTGTACATTGTATGAAAACAACTAAGCCTGTTCCATGGTTTTCTTCTCTCTCAAAGTCACATATTTGTGGTATTTGTTCTAATAGTAATACTTTAACTTTGGCAGCGTTGGCAGTTGGAACTGCAGAGACGACAGCACCAGCCTGCCAACATGGACCCCCGTCTGGCCCAGGTCCCAGCCTTCCCACTCCAGCAGCACAGTGGCCAGCCCTCCGGCAGGATGGGTCCCATGCAGCCCACCTACCCCCACCAGATGCACCCCCTCAGGCCGCACGCCCCCCACCCCCTGGGGCGGAACATGCCCCTGGGTACTCAGTCCTCCCCTGTACCAGTCTCCATGTCTTCACACCCCCGTCCTCCGATGTACCCAGGCTCGTCTTACGGAGGATCACTCCCAACGCCATCTGGGTCCACTCCACCACAGCTGGGCTCAACACCGTCCTACTCACCCAGCGGGGCTTCACCTTACCTCCAGCAGACAGCCTCGGGGCCACAGGGGAGTTCTCGTCTGGGCAAGTTCCCGCTCTCCTCTCTACCACCCAACCAGAAAGCCAACGACCCCAGGCTAAGGAAACACTTAGAAGCGCTGCAGCCAAAAGTCCCTGCTGTGGCTAGAAGCAGCTCATTGCCTTCTGCTCAGGGGAGTGCAGCTACTACCACTACTGTGACCTCCCCTCTGTTAAGCTCACCACTCATCACTACATCCTCTCCAGTTATAACCAGTGAAAAGAATGCACCCTCAGACTCCCCTAAAGCGGTTAGTACAGAGAAAGTTCCTCCGGCAAGAAGTCATTCCCTTCCCGAACCCCCTGAAGCTCCAACGAGAACCCCTCCTGTTAAAAAGGAGCTACCACTGCCTCCGAAAGCTCCAGAGGCACCAGTAGTAGCACCAGCACAGGTTCAAGAAGAAACGGACAAGCCTAAAGTTGCAGATGCAGTACTAACAGACAAGCAAAAGCCATCTACTAAAGCCTCAGGCACAGCAAAGGGAAAAGATACAGCTTTGCAGCCTAAGGCTGGGGTAGTGAGCAATATTCCCTTAGAGGAGAAAGAAGAAATGAAGGCATTTCTGGACACAGTCTTTGAGGAGACCCCGGCAGAAAGCAGGATTTCTAGTGCATCAGAGATGAAGAATTTCCTGGACACTGTTGTAATAGGGAAGCCTCAGAAGGAAAAGCAGCCAAAGAAAAGAGAGAAGGAGAAAGAGGTGGTGACTCAGAAGAAGGTTCCTGAGAAAAGGAAAGAAAGACCCGAGAAGGAAAGGCTTCCTGAGAAAAAAAGGATCCGAATGCCGGAGGAAGGTAAACCTACTTTGTATGATATCATGTTCAAATTATTTGACTTAGCTTTAACAGTTGGCTCCTAATGTCGCTGGCCACAACTGTCAGTGTTAGAATGCTTGATACAATTACAATAAATAGTTGATACCTAGAATCGATCTGTAACTGTAAGCTGACATTGTACATGTATGTGGTAGGCCTGTATGAGTTATGCTTACTTCCTCTTTATTTTTCCCCCACATAACTTCCATAGATATAATAAAGAGGTGCATGCTGCCCAGCATAAGTAACTTGACCATTCCACGAAAGAAGCCTGCTCAACAGGAGAAACCATCCGTGGTAGAATACAACCACGGCGCCGGCTCTACAACCATAGACTACCAACACGGCTCTTCCTCAGGGCCCAAAATTAGTCCCATGTCCAAGGTTGTAGACTACGGGCATGGAAAAGATATAGTGGAACAGTCACTAGAGGAAGAAGAGGATGCTGATACCAGGATGCAAGCCATCGTAGTGGACTATGGACACCAGCCTCCGGCTACAAGTCTTCTAGACTCCGAAAAACTAACTACCACAGACTCAGTTTCTAACACCGATGGGAGCACTAGTATTATAGACGACCAGCAACACCCACCTGCTGGCATAGACGATAAAGTAGTGATAGAGGCTCTGCAAAGTGCTGATATAGCACAAACCAGGCCTGCTGTTACCACCAAAGATCCTCAAGAACAAGTACTAGAGCAGGAACAAGAGGATTCAAAGTTAGACAGTCAGAATGACGTTGAACCAGAAGAACAAGAGAGTGTACTTGAGGAAGAAGAGGATGAATTGACAGAGGCTTTCCTGTTCTGTAGAGATGTGTCCTATGGTGGTACAGACAGCTCCCTAACTGTGACGGTTAGAACGTTAGATGAGGAAGAGGAGGATGGGACTGTCTATGATGGCTTGACTGACAGTGAAGCCCTGGAGCTGAGTGTCGTCAGAGCAGTCTTTTCGTAAGTACCAACTTTCCTCCAACTTTCCTCTACCCTTTCTGTGAGTTGCTGCCTTTCATATCTACGAAAGCTATGCCTGTAAATGAGCAAAAAAGCAGTTTTTGATACTTGATATTGACCTGGACATTATATATAAAAGATATTAAATAAAACAATCTACAACTACTCGAGTTATGACGTTAAACTATATACACACCCAGACCACAGCTGCTCCACCAAGCCCAAACGGAAAACATAGCCTTCTGACAAAGGCAATAATTATTATTGTACAGTGATAAATCAGCAAGGAAACTGTTACCAGGGTGTGACAAGATTTCCATAGAATATTTTATTTTTTCCAAGGCATTACTATCTGGGTGACCTGGATCTTCAGGAGAATGGAGAAGACTTTGCGGAACATGTGCGAAACAGTATCCACACTCTGCACACTACCAACCAGGAGGTCAGCACCGCGGACAGACATGTGGTGGAAAATGCTGACGCAGCAAAGGAGAAGGAAGAAGAGAACACCAGTGTACCCACTACTGAAAGCACAAACAAAGTGGTTGCTGATTCTAAGACTCAGGTATGTACTTGGTGGATTCTAAAGCTGCACCAGCTACTAAGCACCTAATAGCAGCTTCGAAAAGAACAAGAAATAGTCATGGCTTTGAGTACCAGAGCTATCAACCAAGGATTGGGGTTTTCAAAAACTTGTGTCTTCCTAGAACTGTGGTAAAGTTGAACTCACTGCCACCAAGTACAGTAAGGGCATCATCACAAGATAGCTTAAAACAGCGCCTTCAGTTAGCAATGGTTGGGTGTAGCGGGTTGTTTGGTGTAATGTAGTCAACAGCCTGTAACACTAGTGTGTTGTGCCAAAGGGCAGTTACACCAGCTATACAGATATAGATTATCATAAACAGGAATGTCATTATTGTTAATGGAGGAAAGGGATAGCAGAGAGAAAAATATGAAGCTCCAGTTAAAAATGATTCCATAAATGCTCTCACTATTGCTACTACAGTTTTAAAAGTGTTCCTACTTATTTTCTGTCTAGGACAAAGCCAAGAGAAAACCTGCTGCCACACCAAGTGAAAAGCCCACCTCTTCCTTCAAGCTACGTGGTAAGAACTACTACGAACCATCCCAGGATCTTGGCGAACTGATGAAAGACCTGACCAGTCCGTCCTATAAAAGGAGTTCTTCCCACCGGCCCGTGGAAGTAACAGTCTCCGAGCTTGTTCCCAGTCCCACCAAGAAGTTTGAGAATTGCTCGGAGAAGTTTCGTCACTCCAGGGACACCCATGACGACTCCCAAGAGCTTGATTTTCACGCAGCCAAGGAGGCTGCCAGGAAACACAGCGAAAGCTCAAATGTGCAACAGATGCTGAGGTTGTTGGATGATGATCTTAAATCTCATCAACAACAGGAAGGACAGGAAGAATATCAAGCTGAGCAGGACTTGTATAAGGCATATGAGAAGGTGAGAAATCTGTTCCTTTATGTTTGAATGTTTTCTAAGTGCCATTTTCGTCAGTCTTGCAGTCTAATGCATGTTGTTGATGGAAATCTATTTCTCGTTTTGCATCGGTCAAGGTACGATACTTGGGAACTTGCATCGTTGTCAGTCATAAATTCTGAGGTTGTTGGTACGCACTTTAACTCCTTTCTTACTCCTTTTACTATGAGTGGTAAGATTGAAGCTGTATACCAATCACCTCAGGATTTATGGTGTCGTAGACTAGTCACCCGACACATTATCCTGTACATATATTTCTGTTAGGGATTGGCTTTCCTAACCCACTTCTCTCTATTCATGGTATGCACTATTACGATTCCCCATGTAGGCGTATGGTGCATCTGTCATGAAGCAGTATTGAGTTGGAGGAGGTTATTGTACTGTACTCTGTCCAGTCTCTCTCTCCCAAATGCAAGCTGATGACACTTGTGGCTGATAATTTCAAAGCTCCTGATGTTCCCAGCTTGAGTTAGCAGGAGACATTCATTCTTGACTACTCCTGTCCCGAGAATTTGATAACTTACCAAAAGGGCCAAGTGCAATAGGCCTTCTTTTACACACACTTCTCATTGGCACGAGATATGCCCCAAGATATGATTTTTTTCTCTGACACCTGAGTCACTGCAACACCGGCAGTGGTAGACAGGAGGAGCCTAACTGCAAACTTCAACTTGTGTTCAAAGGGAGATGGCCACTCCAGGAACCTTACTATGTGAGGAGCCGTCTACTGTATATATGCCAAGGAGCTGCTACAGTCTCAAGGAACTGTCAAGAGATATATTTTCTATACGGAGATCTTTTACCCAAGATGTGTAATGATATCCAAGGAAGGAGATTCTTCCGTCTCTGTGTCTTCCACATCTTGATAGCTGTTGTTGCTGAATGGAGTAAAGTGTTCGACAAGTGAAGAAACAGGTACTGTCTCACAAGGAAAACTATCATTCTGGAGCCTTGACTTGTCATGCCAGTTTGCAAGAGAACATTTTTGTATCCTGTTCAACAAGGACCTCTGTGCCTTACCTCGATCCACCAGCTTTGTGCATGTGCCTTCCCATATGGAAGCAAGAAGAAGTTATTAACTTGAACGGAGCTTAAAGGAACTACGTAGCTACGAGACAGATTCAAACAAACTGCAATTATAACAGATATAGGAACACGAAAAGCTGTCAAAGGATACATCTCAAATGCAAGATACATTTCAGTAGTGGTAGTACAGTCTCTGTTGATATCAATTAATTATACATAGTGTTCACGGAATTATCGTTGATGTAGTATTTTATGTGCACAAGGAAATCATTGGTTCAGATGTATTTTTGCCACAGGAGAATTGCATGTGGTGTTTTTTTCCTGTACAAGTAACCATGTACATAGATAATCATGTGTAATAATATATTTTGTTGAATCTTACCATATGGAAGATTAAGTTTACCCAAAGGAAGTTCAAGAATTAAGGTACTCATTCTTCCAAGAATTGGTGAGTTATCATACAGTTTGTAAAACTTTAGAACTACGTATTCTCTATATAAAGTTTAGTACTAGTGGCATCTATGCACGAGGCAATAGGAAACCATAAAGCCAGTAAAGACATTTTATTTGTAGGACGTCATGAAGCCAGTAAAGACATTTTATTTGTCATGTATAACATGTATGATGTTGCGTCATAGTTCATCTAAATTATCATTATGTATATTAAATCATTTCTTGATCAGTGAAACTAGATTTGCTTGCATGTTTCTGTTCTTACAGAGTGTTATTACTAGTTACAGGTTAGCACAGGTTAAAATCTTCCTAAACGATATTCTGGACAGACGAGACACATCCAAAGTACACCCATTTCAATATCGGGCCTTGGGATTTAAATCTTTTCCCTACTGCCTAACCCCATAGCCAATAGAGAGTTGGTAGCCAAACACTCACTTTAGGGTGCTAAAATTGATGAGCTCCTGTAGTTGCACTTAGCTAATTCGAATTCTGTAATATCCTTTCAAGAACTTTATAAGCTTTAGTCAGGTAACAAATCATTGCATGTTAATCGTAAAAATGTAGCCCATGTTTTAGCTTTCACTTACTCATTTGCATCACAGTTCATGGCTCTAACACTTAAAACTTAACGCTGGAGAACTATAGTGCTCTGTGGAATTTTTCAAGATGTCAATCATCTACTGATGCCTTCCAAGACACCTGAAGGACAAACTACAACCTGGATCTCAATTTTGCAACCCTGGACCAACTGTACAGCCACAAAGAGTTGACCAAGGAAGAAGATGGTTTTGGTCTGTACTGAACCCTAACAAGCTGAGAATGCAGGCCGTCTGGTTTTACCTGACTAACTTGTGCTGGAGTGTTGCCAGATGACAACGTACCAGAGACGCATGTTGCTAGGACCTTTAAAAACCTAACAAAGACTTGCTACATCCAAACTGTTGCTTACATTACAAGGAAAAAATTCTGTACACTTTTCAGGATAGGCAAGCTCCTAAAAATCTCTTCAATAAGACATGCTACTAAAAACTCTATATATGAAGAGAATTCAACCAAAACACTAACTAAAGATAAGACTGCTATTGACCATTTCATCATATGCCTCAATGTGTGCATGCCATGTTTAAGATTTTCATCATAATCTATAGCTAATAGCAGGATAGTATATCATCTCATCATGAGCAAGCATGTTCCAACCCTTGACAGCTCATAGTCCAAATACTGATCTCTTGTCAAAATTAAACTTGTCATTAACATAATTTATGTATTTCTTTCACGTTAAGACTAGCACCATGCCTGCATGTTGTAAAAGTATGCATGCAGTATTAATGTTCAAGTGTGGGGTATGTAGGTAAAGAGCTTATTGATTTATGAATGCCGTAAAAATGCATATTAAATATTTGGTTTAGAATTACCATTTGAAGAGTTTAAAAATTTTCTGATGCTCTGAGCAGGACATTAGGCAGGAGATGAAAAAGTTTGTAAGGAGCTTGGTTAATTCAATTTTTTTAAATGAAATTACAAAGCCATGGGAAGAAAACATTATTAGCCAATGATTTTCAACAGCAATTGAGTTGTCCTATTGGTCTCTGTGGAGCTGTTGGATGATTGTCATTTGCTACAGTCTAATTATTCAACAACAGTTGGCAAAAGCCACCATTAAACTTTAAAGTCTCCAATTTTCAACAGTTGCAGCATGCACATTGAGAACAACTAGACATTTACATTCAAGGGACAGTCATGTCATCTTAAAGCTGCTACTACTTTTGGCATATCATATTGCATTAAACCCACTAGTACTTTACAACAGGAGCAATGACAACACCATTAAAAACTGTACTTTTCAGTTGTTTGAATGTATGACAGAAACAGCAAAAGTGGTGTCAATTGTCAAGTTAATTGTTTAGTGTGCCTTCAACAATGATGTTGCCACAAGGACTTGTCAAAAAGATTGCCAGCCTTTGTATGTGCATACAACTGAGTTAAAAGAAACAGATCAGTAAAGAAAGGAAACATGGTGAAATTCCTGATACAAATCCAGTACTTTGCTTCAAAGTTAATGTGTCAACAGACAACATTTGGCCACTTGTACACCATTGCTTGTTCCGTTATTTTGAGAAATCATGAATTGTAAAATTAAAAAGATGTTGTAGATCATACTTTATTTCAAATCCAGGTACACTTAAAATGTTTCTTATTTTCCTGTTGTGCATCTAGGAGCAAGATGAGCAGAAAGTTGTCATTCCAGGACTAGGAGGTATGTTGATATTTCTGCTTGCATCAGCAAATGTTAATTTAATTAAGCAGCAATGTCTGTATGTCTGGGTTTGTATAATATTCTTTATCATTTGTAACAAAATAATTACATGTATAATGAATTTAGACAGTAATCCATTTTGCATTATTAAACCTAAAATCAGTTATCCTTACCTGAAGCATACAAAAAATAGATTTTAAGTGAAATTGATCATTTAAAACTACTAGTACCGGTACTTCAAAATTTGTTGTCAGTACCGCTGGCAGTTTCAGTTTTGTGAAGATTTTCAACCTTGCTGTATTGTTGACCATCAGATTTTACTTTCAGCCAATGATGACCAACTCAAATGCCTGCAACCAAAAGGTTAAAGCAATATGTACTTCTGTATTCTTTCAAATTGGAATGTTAAATCTCTTTTTAATCAATCAAATAGCCGGGTCTCTGTCTCTGATTCTAATGAGCTGTTGAATGGTGTAAAGCTTTAAGTGTGATCTCACACCTCGGTGCCTTAATCTGCATGGGCGGGATTGGCCACAAAAATTCTGTGAATTATTTTGCACCTTTTAAAGGCATCCAATGCAATTTCAGGGCAGCAAGACAAAATCTACTAGTATTCTAGATGAGGAAATCTGTCTGATATTGACATTTACTGCATATTTTTGTCATCATTTCATACTTAAAGCGTTTGAAATAGCCAAGAAACGGGAGGAGTCTGTTTATTTTTTTGGTATCACCAGTAAATAGCTCAGAACCAGTCTACTATACAAAACAAGCATCACATTTTTGCCTCACAGATATCAGAGTATGCTATGCAATAGAGTAACTTACCACATTATTATTACAAAATGACCAGAAAATTGAATTTGAAAGTCCAGTTTTACTGCCCTGAAATCACTTTGAATGCCTTTAATTTGAAATGAATTTAGGAAGAACATATACTGGGATGGTAAGCTATCTTTTTGATAATTTGCTTCAAAGGTGCCTTGCATCCTCTTTATCAAAATCTGTTGCTCTGAGCTTTGTAAAAAAACAAATTCAACTTAATAAAGTTAATATGTTTCACTGTGGTTTTTTTTCCAATATTGTGGGGGCAGGTGTGCTTGTGTAGTGGGACCAGATGTGGTTGTGTTGTGGAATTTTCCCTCATTTTGTTTGCATCCTCTATTGCAGGTGACGACCTTCATGTTGCAAATACAGGGCACTCTTGGTAAGTCCTCCAATGACAAAATTCTTGTCCTCAATCTAAAATGCCTTCCAAACAAACTCTGAAAATGTCTTCGAAACAAACTCTGCTGGTAAGTTCATCTGTGCTGGTATAAGTCAGATCTTTCCTAAAATAATATCACAATAACTGTCATCTGTGATAGTGTGTACAAAAAATGTACGATAACCCTGGTGAAAACAGCATTTTTAAAGTTTTTCTGTTGCCCCTTCAGGTTAAGAGCTGCAGGAACAGGGATCCAGTGTCGCACAGACAAGTTGGAGGAAGACCTAACCCTCAGCACCACTCAGGGCGCCCAGCGGTCCGGCCTGCTGCGTTCCACAGCCTCCGCCATGTTGGACCCTCGTCTGAGCAAGAAGCTGTGCAGGCAGAAGCAGGGCAGCTCCTCCAGGTTCACCAAGACTCAGCAGAGGGAGCCCTGTGATCTGCCTCTGCCCAAGTTTGCGGAAGACGTAATGCACTGGCTGAAGGAAGAAACTGGCATCAACAGATTTGGCTTTGAAAGCAGTGTCAGAACTACATCACAGCGAGGACATGAGGTGACAACCAATGTAGATTCTGCTCACCGACAGAAGGACATTTCCCCACTGTTAAATGTGGATGGCTCCACTGGGTCTCGTAAGGAATCCCAGAGGATCTCTCTCAGTGAAGTGAACGAGAAGGTGTCCTGGTGGTTGGAGAAGTTTAGACCAGGGCAGCAGCCTAGTGAAGCAGGGAATGTCCAAGAAAAGGCAGTAACGTCATCACTTGCTCCAACTGTTGAACTGAAAGCGGTTTCGTCTGCAGGAATATCAGAAAGCGCTGCTGTTTCAGACACTGTTGTCAATAAACCGGAGGTCGAAGCTCATAATGAGCATCTTTTGGAGAAGCGAGAAGCTACCACCATTCCTACTCAAGAAATCGCCATTCCACTGCCAGACATAAAATCTACAGTTGTTACAACAGATGTTGAAGCACCTGTGCCAGAATCTAAACCTACTCCTTATGACCAGACATCTGAAGACATTCAGATGTTAGCACCTCCCACCTCTGACACAGCAGACTTGGACTTGCCACAGCGGGCAAAACTTGAGCCTGTTCGTGTGGAGTACAGGTCCGGGGTGGTGAAGAGATCCAACTCATCCTCACCTATTGCAGTGGCTGTTAGTTCCCCTGTCCATATGGCACCAACGCCTCTATCTCCCACCCACCATGGCCCTGTTCAAACGTATACACCAGTGTCTCCTGCTACAACAACAGCACCACCTACGTCAGTAACACCCCAGCAGAAACATCCAGGTCTGTTAACAGATCAGAACGTATCGCTTCCTCAGATGCCGTTGCAGCCACCAGGGCTTGTGATCCCTTCCCTTTCATTAACCAGATTGAAACATGAAACTGCAGCAGTCTCGGAGCAGCCTTGCGCTTTTGTAACAGCCACTGCGGTCACTGCATCAACAACTGCAGCATCCGCAGAGTCTATTTTGCCTGCAGTTGAAGAGAAAGCAGGACAAGATGATGTTGAAACTGCAGCAGAGAAAGTTGCTGTTGCAGGTGACGATTCTCTACAGACAGAAAATGAAGTAGCCGCCACCTCAATGCCTGCCGAAGCATCCCTGTCCACGTCAGCTGAAGCATCAATTTCAACATCTACTGAAAAAGGAAGGAAGTCCAACGTTACAAAAGACAATGTTACTGAAGCAGCAGCAACCTCCCCACCTGGTCTGTCATCTCCCGAGAAAGTTGAAGTGAAGAGCAGGGTGGATGCATCAGGGGAGAAAAAAGAAGAACCAACAGTTGTTGAGGCTCAGTCACCAAACAAGATTCCACCAAAACAGCCTGCTGTCATTAAGTCCCCTGCAGAAATTATTACATCCAAGCCGGTGAAACCAGTGGTCGCTCGAAAACCCACCATCGCTGAACTAGTGGTAACAAGGTTAATGAAAGAGAAAGCAGGAAAAAAGGCGGGAAAGAAGGCGTTAAAGAAAGGTAGCAGAGCAAGTTCCCCAGTGTTCGAAACACAGGGAAAAGTGTTAAAGAAACCAGGTACGATCACAATAGCTAACTTGAAACAGTCACCAGTAGCAGCGTCAAAGGCAGCTCTAGCAAAGTCTGCAGGTGGAAAAATCAAGTCCCCTGGCAAAAAGCTAGCCAAAGTTCAAAGCAGTGTCCACAAAAGTGCAAAGGATGTTATAAGTGATGCATATCATGACTTTGAGAAGGAGGTATCTAAGACACTTGAGGAGAAAGGGCTCTCTGCCTTGGCTGTTTCAGTGTCGGAAGACTCACAAGGTTCTAAGGATGCAGTACAAGTCAAACGCCTTTCTCGTCTCACCAGGTTCTCCCGGTTCTACCAGTCCTGCAAACATGATGTGAAGTACCCAGACAAAGTCAGGGAAACTCTTGTGGATGCAGATTATGCAATCAGACGAACAGAAAGGCAGATGACCAGGAAAATACAGATGGAAGTGGAGAAAGAAAGAAACAGGCAGCATGTCAGAGACACCTCGAGTGAAAGGACTCATTCCAGTGTTAAGAGAGAAGCAAGCGACAAGAAAAAAGTAGCTGACACAGAGCACAAAACAGCAGGTGCAATGACAACAGCATCAGAAGCTGGTCATAAGCGGGAAAACAAAAAAGAAGAGGGATGTAGTCATCAAAGGCATGGTAACACAGAAGCAACTGTGTACTTTGCCATGCACAACTTGCAGCAGAAGACTAATACCATGCTCCATGACAGCAATGATTCGTGTCCCATGACCAATGACATTGACCTCACATTCAGTAAAGGAAAGCATCTAAAGCTTTCACAGAGACCTGCAAGTTATGTCGACTCAAAGATGGCAAGGAGAATTGATGACGTTGTCATGGACTCCCTTGTTCCTCTGCCCTTGCCAGAAAGGTACGCACCTAACGTTCCTCTCCACAACCAGGAAAGTTCTTCTGATGAAGTGATGACACCACCATTGTCACGAGATCACGACCAACCAGACACGTTGGGAGAAACAAGAGCCCCTTACTTGCCACAGAGTCAGGCACCAATACCAGATCCAGCCTCTGCTGCCTACAAAGTAGAGATACCTGCAGACGTTCCAGAACTGGCGGACGAACCAGAAGCCCCGGCACCTCCTACTTTCGTAAGGCCGCTAAAGGCTAAGCTCATACCTAATCGTCATCAACATCAAAACCAAAACATGTCTGGATCCGGCATTGCCACAGTGGACAAAGGTTTCTGATGCAGAAGTCAAGCCACAAACGTATCCCATGTACGAGCTGCCCCCCAGAAAACCCACCGAAGAGCATCAGTTTGATTACTCAGCTCGTGTTTCTGGTGTTGATCAACCCACACCAGGGGTATTGGAGCCTATGAAGTCCCACAGTATCACAGTACCCCAACATAATGGTGCTGAACAGAATCCCTATTCTGGAGGCTCCTGGACAGTACCAGGGTGGGGTCCAACAGGACGGTGTCCTTGGTACAGCCAGACTCAGTCACCGTATGTCTTCACACCTTCCGTCTCTAAACCGTCATCCGAGCCTCCCCCACCCGGTGTGGACGATGGAGGAGACAGCCCTCTCCTGGATGAAGGGAGATACGACAACAGCTCCATTGATCGTATCATTCACGAGGTTGACAGAGACTTCACCAAGGTGTTTGACAGCAGCGTGGAGAATGCAGAAAAAGTGCCGATTCAAGAAGACGTCAGGAAAGTTGAGTTTCGTGACAAACCCGATGTGGAGACCTCCTCAGCTCGACCTTTCTCTAACGTCGAGGCCCTTGTCAATGAACTGATCGCAGCAGGTAGGTCTGCAGCTGACACCACAGCACCGGCCAAAGAGGACAACTCAGAGTATCTGTACGGAGAGTATGGGACACCGATAAAACCTGTCCAGAAAGTGTCCTGTTCTGTAGAATCAGGTCAGAAACATCACGACAAAAGCAAAAAACAGTGGGGATCATTGCCATACCAGGGGGAGTTCTCTCTACATGTCGATCACGAGGCCACAGATGAGATCGTTGTGGATCTGTTGAAGGACTTCTTTGAGCAGATATCGGATACTCTAGGGTCCTACAACCTTCCACAGGCAGGTTCCCAGCCGGATGTGCTGGGATCTGCTGGCTTGAAGGATCAAGGATCTCATCTCCCAGCACTATCCAGCCAGGCAGTGGCTATGGTCAGGGGGAATAAAAGACATGCCGAGATGGACCCATCTCAGGAAAGACTGTTCAAGTGGCAGAGGTTTCACAGTAACATGGAAGATGACTCTGCTGAGGAAGTGTTTCATGTTGATGAAGAGGATGCAGATCGGTTCAGAAGCCATCTAAACCAACTGTCCAAACACTGTTCTAAAGAATCCCACTTCAAGGTGGATTCTGTCACCAAGGGCTCCTACCTCGCCACCAAAACAAGACTGGTAGAACTTGCCGGCAGTCCTCGCAAGCAGCCCAGAGTTATGGGGACTGCATCGTCAGAGACTGAAGAGGGCCACTTGGGTGGCTCTGTCAGGTTCATGAACCTCAGCACTGAAGCCAAGGAGAGGATCCTGCAAGCACGAGCAAGAACCACAAGGATTGTCAACACCCTAATGACCAGGTAAACCATCTTAAACTTCGCCATTTCTTCCCTGCAGATATCAGTTGTAGGCATTTCTAGGTCTGGTAAGACCATGAAGGTACATCTTCTACACCAAGTTCGTAATGATTGCTTTTACGCTTGGATACACGCAGATATCAGTTGAGTATAAAATGTGTGCTTCCTTGATAAATGTACATTCACTGAGTCAATGTCTCAAATGCAATTTTTCTCACCATGAAAACCTCAGATACAGTAATGAGATACAGGATGTAGCAGAGGAGGACCATGTCATTGAGCCTTTCAAGAAACTCAGCAAGAGACAAAAGAAGAACCTCAAGAAGCTCAAGCAGAGAGGGTCCAAATCTAAAAAGGTATTCCATTCAATTCTGGATTCAGTAAAGCTACAGCTATTTCCCTGTCATGTTTTTACAGCACAAGTTAGACATGTAAAATATTAGGAAACTTTACTGTTCTACTGCTTACTCTGTATTCACTGTCTACACAGGCTAACGTCCCACTAGAAGTGAGCTATGCCAGCCCCATCACATCAGACTCAGATACAGAGCTCATCCTTGCCCAGTCCCCTGACAGATCTAGAGAGTCCTCCCTACCACCACAGCCAGACCCAGCATCTTACAGTGAAAAATCTGCAGACCAACCACAGCAGGAAGCGCCACCTAGCAGCTCATCACAGAACTGGTTCTATGTCTACAACCCTCATGGTGATGCTGCCCTTCAGGAAGTCAAGGTAGCTTGCTGAAATTTGGGCTAGAAATATGGTACCCTTATGACATCCAGATACACGTTTAATACATTAACAGAATGACCAGAAAATTGATGGTTTTGCTGCCCTAAAATTGAATTTGATGCCTTTTGAGATATTATATACATGTAGACCTTCAGACAGTTACAGTCTGTTCCTCCATCCCTCAGGACTTCCTGGTCAGTGCTGGTGGGAGTGAGCTTGACCCCTTTAACCTGTCCCTGGTGGCGGACATCCCGGGGGTGGACGTGTGGGTGGTCATCAGGAACTCGGACACACCCGACGTGGCGCACATTCCTAACTTGTACGAGCTCAAAAGGTAACAAGACTCCATAGGCGACAGTTCTCTGTGAAGTTTTATATTTTGCAAATTGGGAAAAGCATAGTGTATATAAACAGTGTGTGAGCACTTCACAACTGGTAACAACATTTTGTAAAAATGGCTTAAGCCAGTCTTTTTCCTCGCATCTTCTTGGTTTTCATTAATGTGGATTATGAAATTTTATTTGTTACACTCACTATACTCTCCATCACATGTTTATCCTAGGATGCCAATGGTGAAGTTTGTTGGTCTGGACTCCATTGATGACTTGCGGAACCAGACCTACTGCCATATCTTCACACGCGGTGCCATCGTAGTGCCAGACGAGAAAGTTCTCATCCAAGCCACTCCAGGTGAGAAGAAAGAAGAACGTGTTACAACTTTCATATACATCTGTTTTAAAAGTTTAGAATTGTTGTGTTCCAAATTATGTGTCCAGTGGTTAGCGACGGTCACCCTGTCTCTGGACCAAGGGATTCAGATTTTGAATTCTGAGCTGTTGTCGCTCACCCAACAGGCATGCTACTGTAAAGGGTCACATTCCTAAAGACTGGACATTAAGCCTTGGTCAACTGTTCATTGTACTTCTTGTTGAGAAGAGCTAGATATAGCATCTCCGTCTTCTCTCTGTCAGACCAGTGAAGAGTACCTCTTTGGTGAGCTAAAACTGGATGGAGATCACTTTCCTTTTGTGAAGAAGACCAGTTCAAAACTTAACACCAATCCCTGTACTTCAGGAGAGCTGCAGGCTTTGTGCCAGTTTATAGAGGAGCAGACCTTTGAGAAGGATGAGCCATGGACGATGAAGTTACACTACAGCACTCGCCTCGCCCTGGAGAAGATGAAGTAAGTGTGGATTACTGTATCAGATTACCTTGTCAGATAGAAAGGGAAAATATTAAACAATTCTCCTAAAACCTTACTGAATAATTTCATCACATTGATGAATGAATGAATCACAAGGTTCTTTATTCATAACAAGTCAAACAATTGTTAAACAATTCTGGTTTAACAAGAATCAACATTTCAATAATTCTTACTCAAGGCAATTACATATGGTTTACTGTGCACTGGTTTACTTGGTCTAGGTACATGTAGGTCACAATTACTTTATGTTTGGCACTGCATTGTTAGCACTTACTATAGCTTCAGCGCACAGTGAACCAGTCATAACTCCCCTGATGAAGATGGCAGATGGCTATCAAAGAAACATTGCCTCTCGTGAACAAGTGATTGTGTGCAAAGAGCTAAAGAACAAACTGATTATTTCGCAAGAGAGCAGTCATGTTGAAAATTTCAGGTCTACATGTAGTGTACTACATTTGTATTTTCCTTTTTTCATCATTACTAACTTGACCAATATATTCAGCAAAACTGATTTCTGTCCTGCCCAGGAATGACATCACGTTGGACTACGCTCAGCGGGAAGAGTCGTGGAAGATGCTGAGTTGTCTGGATCAGTACGTCAGGAAGGGTCTGGCAGAGTACCTCCCACTCCTGCACGGCTGTGGGGATGGGGACAAGACACCTATCGAGATGCTCCCCTGTGTAGCCAAGATCCAGTTAGAGAACCTGGAGACTTGCAGGCACATTGTCATGCTCACAGGTAAGGACTTGTCACCTTATCATCATAGATTATAGGTGTATGGAATTGTGTCCCTGACGTTAACCCAAAAATATCTAGACATGTCACCTGGAATTTTCTGCAGTAGATCCTTACATGTATTGTACAAGTTTAGGTCTTCTCTTGAAAGTTCATCTGTGTTGGTAAAGGGTTTATGACACAAGTTTGAACTGTAATGGCCAACACAAAAAATTGGAAGTTTAGGTCTGTTCATCACTTAGGATTGAGGTGCTATCAGATTTTAGTAAGTATCAAGAGTAAGTTGGTAGGTTTTGATTAGAGAAGTAGCAAGGACTCTTGCTAATTTTATTTGTTAACACACCAGGTTTTATCTATTATAAGAAAAATCACAAGGAAGGGTTGGAGTTTACATTAAAATTATCAAGAACATAGATTGTACTGATGAATGTTTTCTCCCCTGCACATCATCTGCAGACCTGGATCAGTACAGCAAAGAGGCTGGTATGTCTTAGAATCACAGTAACTAGTGACTTTTTCCCTAAAGCTCTTCTTCCTGTTTGCACGGCTGGCTTTTGGTTTTCTCTTTTTTTTCACAATACGGGATGTCTACAGCTGGTGGAGGTTGTGCTGCCATACTTGTTTCTTCTTTCTTTCTCTGCATGTGGTACCAGTAGTGGTAGATCACTAGTATTGGTAGCCAGTAGACATTTGTAGCTGGATAGATTTGGTGATGGGGGAAAGGTTTAAATCTTATCTTTTTGTGGTGTTGTAACAGGCGGCATACTTCAAATCAAATTGCTGTTTGTAATGCTAAATAATGGTAATTTTGTAAAATATAGTTTTGTACCTGTACATGTAAATGAGTACCTGTAAAACAGTATTATAAAACCTGTATAAAAGGATTAATGTCACATACATGTATACCCATCAAAACACCTTGAGACGAAGTGTTGTATCATTATACCTTGATTTGACTTTTACCTTTAATTTTGTTATGTTTCAAATATCTTCGCTACATGTACTGAGTGCAATGTAAAAAGACAATTTTGAAATGCAGATTCTATCGCATATGTTCATTGTTATCAATGTTGTACAATTTAAATGTAAAGGCCCTTTTATCATTTTTTTTGCACACAATATCTGATATTCTTGTCGTATCTGTCAGCATATGGCGAAGTTCTGCCCCACCAGAAAAGTTTGTTTTCAAGTCTGGTCTGTCCTGGTAACAAATTCTCCCTCATGTAGTTTAAACACCTTTTTTTTCATCCCTTACCACAGACCTGGACCAGAGCAGCGAGCAGGCTGGGATATTCTGGAAGGCAGGGATTGGGGTAACCAGTCTGAAGGAGTTCCTCAGTGTGTTCACTGGCTGGAAAGGGGAACAGAAGGACAGTGGGAAGGAATTTCAAGGTAGGACAGTAGGTTGGTTTAAGGAAGACTGTGTTCTCACTATAATTTCATCAGGTTGGTATAACATAGGATATTTGGATTTTCTTACACACAAATAGGGATTCTTCCTACATGTACCTTGCTTACATAAAGAAGAAAAGAAAAAGAACAGAAGAAATCAGCAGTGACAGACTACACAGGTGGAAACAACAGCATAATAGACTGGGAGGGGGCCCGGGTGATCAACCTTTTAGGTCTAGCAGATGTAATTTGCTCGTTTTAAATGTACATACATGTATCATCCCAAAAAATATGTCAATCAAAATGAAATGTGGTGCTACTAATGTAGCTGTCACACTTATCAAAAATACCAGTAAGTACAATAGTGGTGACATATCTGGTTGTTCTCGATATTCTGTAGATACATTTTAGTCTGAAACCATCCCTTTAATACCTTTTTGTTGTTTCTTATACCCAGGCGAGCAAAGCTTCGCAGACACTCCACAGTCAGACAAGACTGAGCACGCAGAGGTTTCTGGGAGGACAGGAAACCTGATCGAGATATCAACTCTACCAGTGTTGAACGAGAAAGCACAGGAAGAAAAGGTGACAGAAGGAGCAGAGGTTCAAGGGAAGCCTATCCCGTCACTTGGCTCTGCCACCAACCACATGCCACTGGTTCCGTATGTCACTGAAGACTCCCCTGAGGGTCAGCAGACGGTGAGGTCGTCTCAGACAGATTTTGGGGAGACGGCAGAATACCAACAGTACTTGGAGGCTGTGTCACCCCAGGTACAGGCCTCGCCACATGTTTCACCCGGTGCTAAGTTAGTAGTACCCGCGGCAGGACAGTCACCTTCTTCCCAGTGCACTGCACAGGGGCAGACTGCTACTACGCCACATGAGGTAGCCCACCCACAAGTTCACGTGTCTCCTCTTGCTCGAGAAGCCCCACACACCCAACCCCCTCAGCCCCAGCAACCCCCTCACCCCTCTCCTTACCCGGCCCAAGCTACACAGAGTCCCCACACCCCACTTCCAGCCTATCCGGTATCCTCCACCCCAGCCCAGGGCTTCACACCCCAGCCTCCCTACTCCCAGCCTTCGTCTTTCCTGCAACAGTCCCCAGTACCTCAGACAACACCATCCCCCTCCTACCTACCACAGTCTCCATACCCTCCTCAGTCTGTACCATACTCGCCTGCCTACCATTACCCCCAACAGTCGCCCTCCCCTATGGCACCTGGTACTGCAGACGGCTCACCACAGGCACAGGCCTTCTCACCGTACCCTCCGTACTATCCCTGCCAGGAACAAGCCCCCAGCCCTCAAGACCAACCTGGGTACCCACCTCACTTCCAGTTCCCTGAAAGTTATCCAGAAATGCACGGACCACCAATGCATCCAGGACCTCCAGGGCCAGAGTACTACATGGGTCCCCCTCCCCCACCCCACCTTAGAGGACCGTTTGCACACTCTCCACTACCGTACGGTGGACCTCCCCCAACTCAGGGGTCGGGGGCTGAAAGTGACCATTCTCTGAGTCCTGGAGTAGACATGGAAACAAAACCGGTGGAGAAAAAGCCTCATCCTGGCTCCACTTCCCCCAGGGCTCGGATCCAGAGGTCCAAGGCAGCTGCAGGCAAGAGGCCAGTCCGCCCTCCCCCCACCAAAGTCCAACCGCCAACCCCTACACCCACCTAACACAGCTGGTGATACAGCCAGAACTTTCAAACTGTGGAACATTGTAACAGTTGTAAATATGTAATATGCAACATGTACTAAGGTTCCACTTGAAGTTGTTTCATGGGACAGGCATGTGGAAATTTATTTTTAAGTATGACAAAAATGGCAATAATCTGATCAGTATGATTCAGTTTTTACCTAGTGTGGAACTGGTACCAGAAGTGAGGGGAACATTTTTATATGCAGAATTTCACAGATCGAGTCATCTTGACCAAACATTGTACTTACTCTGCATATATTAAGCATATACATGTATGTCTAAACCTCTATGCAGTAGAAGAAAGCATAGCAGGGATGTCAACACCTCAGCACATGGTTATGTGCTTAATGCCAAAGGCTTTTCAAAGTGTCATAGAGATTACTTACCTGTACTTGAAAAAGCAGGAAAGCATGCAGCTACTGGTGACAACCAACAGCAGAGACCTACATTGTATATTATTTCAAATATTACTGATACAATGTACTTTCTCGCGTAGGACAATGCCATTGACATGTACACCTCTCAAAAGTTTCCGGTATTTAGCAGACAGTTTGGAGATATTGCTAAATTTTAGTATACAATGTCTTTTACAGGCATAGAAATGTTTGGACATGATATTGATCCTGAAGAGAAAGGAAAGTTGATCCAAGGCCATTGAATCATGCAATGTTTGCACATTCATGTGTATGTAGAGCCAAGAAGAATGTAGAGCACTTTGGCAGAATGTACTCCATCTGTGCGAAAGCCCCATAATGTATTGTGCATGGCACTTTGGCAGTAGTCTCGTATGAGGTCCTATTCACATATCTAAGGATAACATCCTGTCTATAGTTTTCAAACATTGGGTCGTTTGTTTTTTTAGTATTCTCTGTACAAATATATGCAGTAGAGAAAGCCGTTACAAACATGTAAGCCTTAAAATCTTGTTGCATATTCTTTTTTGTCTGAACCTTTGTACCACTTCAGCAATCATAACATACCAACAATGTATTTAATGGGTGAAAAGTACATGTACTTAACATTTTACATGCATTTCTTAGCTGTAAGATACTATATACAGCTGTGAGTTCTTTTGCCAATGATTATGTAGTGAACTACATTGTCAACTGTGCCACAGGTTGGGTGAATAGCAGGATGCATACAGTAGACTGAATGGTCTGATACTGTCACAAAGTACACAGTGGATGCCCATGCAGGTTTTAAATGTTAGACGTACATTTTATTGCAGAGAAAAGGTTGCCATATCATAATACTGGTGCAATGAGCAGAAAGCAGCGCTGTTTTCTATGTACTGAAAGTGGCTGGCAGTATATTAAAACTCTTGATGAAGTTTGTACATAGTACCACTGCAGTCAGCCTGGAAAAATGATGATGCCGAATGGAGATTTTTATTACTACTGTATATAACTTGAAGGTTTTATATATCATTCCTCTTGTTTGGAGGATACATTCCTTTATGCCATACATGTTTATATGGTTATGATTATTTGAAGAAATCATTAAACTTTTCTGTTGAAGGTACCTCCAGGTCTTTGTTGTGTTTTTTACATACAATCTAGTATCAATGTTATGATTTTCTACTGACTGTACAGAATACATGTAGTTAAATTGTGTTGTTAATTCAAGATTAGGCCTAATAGACTACTCTTGTTCTTGGCATACATATTAATAAACAATGTACTCAGTATAATCAAGGGCTTGCTAACTAAATCCAATATCAAATGTTATGATTTTCTAGTGACTACAGAATACATGTAGTTAAATTGTGTTGTTAATTCAAGATTAGGCCTAATAGACTACTCTTGTTCTTGGCATACATATTAATAAACAATGTACTCAGTATAATCAAGGGCTTGCTAACTAAATCTAGTATCAATGTTATGATTTTCTAGTGACTACAGAATACATGTAGTTAAATTGTGTTGTTTATTCAAGATTAGGCCTAATAGACTATTGTTCTTGGCATACATATTAATAAGCAATGTGCTCAGTTCCTGGGCTTGCTAACTATAAATCTAGTATTAATGTTATGATTTTCTAGTGACTAGTATAGAATACAAAATTGTGTTGTTGATTCAACACCAGGCCTTATAGACTACTCTTCTTCTTGGTGAAGTGGATCAGTTCTGTGTTATACAGATTTACAATTTTTCCTATCTTATACTTCATTCTGTCAATGTCTTCTGGAATCCTATGGCACTCTTTTCATTCCTGAACTCAGAATGTCTGTCCAGGTATGTTCGTAATGTTCCATGTGGTAGTCTTGTACTGTTGGCACAACTTGGCTGTAAGGCGAAAACTGTCGACAGTAATGCAGACATTGGTCATATACTTTCCGCACCTACAATTTTACATGTCTGCAGTATATTTTACACAGACAGGTGTTGATTATTTGTCATCAAATTGAACCCTCTGTCCCTGAGCCCACTTCTTTGAGACATCCAGCTAAGATACAAGGAGCATCTGCCTTCACATAAGCCTCGAGCATGATCTTGTTGTTCTTGATGTATCCCTTCTGTGGATCACACACCTCATGCCACGGCATGAACTTGGAATACCCCCAGTTATCACCATTCTTGTAGAAGACACGATTCACTACCATCTTATGAATGTTTACCCCTGCCTTCTGTGGGATCAGCCGAAACTCGACTGATGCACGACAGGACCAGAAGCTGTTGGAATTGGCATCACACTTCAAGTAAACGCCAAGAGTCTTCTTGTTTGGTGGCTGGCTTTTGGTGTCCTCTTCATGCTTGGCCAGTATTTTCCATGGCAGGTTACGGACAAAGACCGGGTTACTGTACCGCCTCTCTAGCTCTTTGACTTCACTGAAGTTCTCCACAGTGAAATGAATGGTTGCCTCAGCTACTGACTCAGTCTTCTCATGAATTTCTTCACCAAAAATGTTGCCCAGGGCGATTTCCTTCATTCCACGAGGAGCATCTGCCTTCACATGGGCCTCCAGTATGATCTTGTCATCCTTGATGTATCCCTTCTGTGGATCACACAACTCATGCCACGGCATGAAGTGCGTAGTCCCCCCGCTCCTATCTTTGTTGTAGAAAATCTGGTCGATATTATGTGTCAATGGCTGCACACCTATCTTCTGAGGGATCAACCGCAGCTCAGCTGAAGCATGGCAGGACCACAAGCTTTTGGAGTCGGCATCACAATGAAGGAAGACAGCAAGGTTCTTGTTGGGTTGCCACTCACGTGACTGCCAGGCATACTTGGAGTCACCAGAGGGTTTGGCCAGTATTTTCCATGGGAGGTTTTGGATGAAGACTGCATGACTGAACTTCCTCTCTGTGACCTTGCTGACATTCTCCATGGTGAAACGAACAGTTGCCTGACTTTGAGGCTCTTCCTCCATCTCTTCGCTGTCAATGGTGATCTCCTTCTCACCACATGGAGCATCTGCCTTCACGTAGGCCTCCAGTATGATCTTGTCATCCTTGATGTATCCCATCTTTGGATCACACACCTCATGCCACGGCATGAATTCCTTCCTCCCCCAGCTGCTCCCATTGTTGTAGAAATTCTGGTCAACTGTGCTAATAAATTTCTTCACACCTTTCTTTTGAGGAATCAACCGTAGCTCGGCTGAGGCATGGCAAGACCACAAGCTTTTGGCATCAGCCTCACATTGCAGGAAGACGGCAAGGTGCTTGTTGTAGGGAGGCTGGCCATTAGGGACATAATAAGGCTCAGCGTATACTCTCCAGGGCAGATTGCGGATGAAGACAACGTTACTGAGTTCCTTCTGTTTGAGCTTGCTGAAGTTGTCCACAGTGAAACGAAAGGTCGCCTCAGCTTGCGACTCTCCCTCCATTTCGTCATCCACAATTTCTTTATCAACAATGCTACCAAGAATGACTCCTTTTTCTTTCCTTTCTGTCTTTGGATCAAACATGACATAGCTGATGTCATCAGGAATGTCTGGGGTTGGGCCTTCCAACAGAGATTCCAGCCGTGACGTGACATCAGAGTACATGTTCATGAGGTCAAAGTCACTGCCATGTTCCACTACTTTCTGTGAGAAGTCCACTGTGCTGGACAGACAGCCTAGGGTGCTCCTAATACTGTCTGCTGTGGCAGAGAGCAGCTTGGAACGATCTGTAGTGATGGAGGCCAGCTTTTCATTCAGCTCAGTCTCATTGCATTTCACAAGACCAGTGAAGTGCTTGATCTCTTTCTTTGCAGCTAAGCCGATGCTCTCTTTGGCTTTCTTGCTCCTTGTATCCAGTTCTGCTTGCTTCTTGGCTACAACACTGGCTCTTTTTTCGTATTTTGTGATTTTCTGCTTGGCAGCTTTCAGTTTGGTCTTGATTTCTGCCCTGACTTTACCTACAGTATCTGCTAGGTAGCCGTACTTGTGATTCTTATGCTGCAGTACAGAGCAATCTCGACAGATGGGGCACTTGCACGTCTCACAGTAGAACTTCATCTTCTCATCCTCATGTTTTGGACATGTAGGCAGTGATTTTGACTTCAGCGATCCTGTCTTGGTGATCAGCTGCTCTTTTAGCTCTACCACACCAATGACTTCATGACTTCGAGTGCGTTTAGCACGGTAGTGTGCTGAGGCGCACTCATCACACAAAAACTCTTCACAAGGGACACAGCCTCGGCTAGCCACATCTTCTTCACAGACATCACACTGCACTTTGTCATCCTCCTTGCTAACCAAACTCTTGTGTGCCTGAACTGTGTCGCTCAAGCTCTGGACAAAGAAGTTGTTCTTGAAACTGGCGACTCCACCTTTTGGAAGTACAGTTTCAATCCGACATGTTGGACAATGAAACTTGTTCTTCACTTTATCTTGTGCAACAAACTTCTTCAGACAGCCCTCACAGAAGGTGTGAAGACAAGGCAGCACCTTGGGATCTTTAAAGGGCTCCAGGCAGATGGTACACTCTAGAAAGTCACTTGATATCTTGCTGAGTATGGCATCTGCCTTTGTTTCTTCCTGAGACTTTGAACCCTTTGTGGGCTTGGAACTTTTTCTGAAACAAAATTATGCAGTTAGGACTTAGATGGCTAACTTCTATTCTTTGCCAATACAGCAACTAGTAATAGATATATAATTTGGTGAAGAAATAAATTTCCAAAAGATTACAGCAATCCATGAGACAGTCCGGGGCTCAAAATACCATGTGCAAATTAGTACAGGTATTTCTGATGCAGATATTCTGATGTCTACCTCAGAGTGTGTAACCTGTTGCAGTCCATGCACCTGATTGGAGGAGGTTTATACATGTAACTAGGTATATGTGGGATTTTTATTTGCTGCATTACCTATAGGCCATGTAGTATAAAAGAAATGATGACAATGGTTTTTGAACTGTTTTTAGTGTGGTCCATACTTTGTAAAGTCTGGGTTGTGCAGGAAAAACTTGTCTATGAGAGAGAATTTTCAATGTTGCCTGCAATAGTGAAGGTATGCAGAAAGAAGTATTTCGAGCCCTGAGTTTTGTATCTTCTGTGAAACTTTTCAAATAAGCCTGTTCATGGAACTGTGAAAGATGAAAACTTGTAAAAAGTTTGAACAACAGAACTGTAAGATAAGTATTTATGTCATTTTTTTCACATACATGACATAGATCACTGCTGTACTCAGTCAGTATTTCGAACATCTTGGGTTTGTAAACGTTACTAAAATTACAAACCTTAGTTTGATTTTCATTTAGTTCTGTTTATCTTTCAGTGTGCCTTGAAAACTTTTCTTGTTTGCCCCCCTCCCCCATGGTAGCTGGACCAAAATTATCCATGGTAACATACGTAACATTCGTCTTGTTTGTGACCTTAGCGTTAAGCCAGACCGGCCGGAATATTACCTAAAAAGGGCTGAAAAAGTGTGCAAAATATCACATTATCAAATAACTATATATATATTTTTTTTTTTAATTGCCAGTGTTGATTTTTGCTGTCTAGAAAAGCGAAAAAACATGTTGACAGTGAAATAAACGACCCGGAAGTGACCGCGAATCGTCTCCCCCATATATAATTTGAAGTCAAACGCTCTTCATCTTTTCCCCAGTACCTAAGGCGTCAAGAATTAAGTTCCTATGTAACGTTAACGTCAGAAAAACGATGAAAAATCCCGAATGTTTTACCTTTTCGGCATCTTGCCCAGACCGTCTGACGTCTGATGAGAGACGCGCGAACTAACTTTTTTCCCACCGAAAATCACCACCGTGTGGGATTGTGGGAAATAATTGGGCCATTTAATGAAGGAACCTAAATGGGGTTAAAAGGATTTTTTTTTCGTATTATCTGTCAATTCTGATGTTTTAAACTATTTACATACAATATAATTGTCTTTAAAAATTGAAAAATAACTTTTGTTGGATTATGCTTTTTCTCTTTGTCCAATTGAAAATCCAAACTCCCCTCCATTTTCAATTTTTTTTTCTTAGAACAGTCTAAAAGTTCGCAGGTCACACCGTATAACACACATACTGGGGGCTACAAAATATTTTAGGTTTGAATCTTTATTTCCTAATCAAGTTGCCATATTTGCGGATTGTATATAACGTTAAATATTTTTGTGTTATGCTGCCCTCATCCCGCGAAATCACCGGACGGGTGTTTTTGTTGACTTGACCTCTCATCATACTCGTGGCTGCTTTTCTCTAAACTGCAATGTTTTTAGGACTGGATGTTTTGCATGTCTTTAAATATCTTGCAGATTAAGTCATCAAAACACATCTGGCCAAGGTATTAAACGGTCTAAAAAACGGGCTATTGTGTACATTGTATAACCAATTTAAAACTCCATGGTATAACTACCTTTGTTTGATTGAATGTTAAGTAACGGGCCCGTTAACGTTGTTTTAATGGCTTGGGGCATAGATTGGTGCAGTGTGATCATCGAATTATTTCAAGCAGTGAGTTCACATCGGCTTCATTTTATGGATGACATCCTCCGAACAGCCCCAAACTAGTGCGCGCGGGCGACAAAAAAATCCTGACAAAAATAAAAATGCCACTAAACCACAGGGACAAAGCTGGTATTGTGAATTTGCGGCAGTACATAGCGACGTTTGTGTGTGTGTGTGTGTGTGTGTGTGTGTGTGTGTGTGTGTGTGTGTGTGTGTGTGTGTGTGTGCGTGCGTGCGTGCGTGCGTGCGTGCGTGCGTGCGTGCGTGCGTGCGTGCGTGCGTGCGTGCGTGTGAAGAAGCGAAAATCAATGCGCGCGCGGTGTCATCCATAGAATTAAGTCGGTGTGGCGTAAGGATACAAGGAGAGAAGGAATTACATGAGCCCACCAATATATTTTTTATGGGTTCACCACACCACGAAGTGGTGTGGTGAAACCATATTGCTTTTTCTGATGTTTCTTCTCCTTCTCCTTCTCCTCCTCCTCCTCCTCCTGCCATATCTTTAAATGGATTCAGCTTCTTCATTTTAGGGCCTAAGGTCCTGAAATTTGGTATGGAGGTACAGTGGGCAAATACCCCTAGGCGTTTTTTAAATTATTGTGATACAGGCTTTTAGAATGGTTTTATTTGAGTTTTTTGGCTGTGTTATAGCAAATGTATTACTGTGTTAGTCTGCCTTGTTTACCACGTTTGGGCATGAGTCATCAGAATGGAATGCAGGGCATCAACCAATAGGCATGCAGCTTTCCTCTATACTTCTTGCTGATTGGCTGTTGGGATTTAACTTGATTAACACCTGCACAGAAGCATTTCCATACTGACAGTATGTCTGTATTCAAGTGTTTTGGTAGGCATTTCAAGCTTTCCTGCTCCAGCATTGGAATGCCGGGCATGGACGTTTTTTTTTTTTTGAAAATCAACAGTTTGCATTATGCAATTAAAAATCCTAACCAATAAAGTAGGGAATAGCTATCCAACTGTTGTTTTAGTTGTATTTTACTTCATATTATAGTATAGTATGTAAATCATTGTTTTCCCTTGTGTTTCCCATTCTTTCCCTGCCATGTCGTAAAATGTGGTGAACCCATCGCTGTATTTGCTCCAAAGCAAATATTGGCCTTTCTAGTATTGAAACTGAATTTCTTGACTACAGCATACATGTACAATGTCCCGACTGTGGAACCGCTTACCCAGCGAGGTCACAGGGTCGGCAACCATCTCCATATTCAAGGCCAAATGCAAACACCACCTCTTATCCTGATTACCTTAACACCAATTGTAAATAAAAATCCTCCAACCGTTCCATTTCAACTTTGATCATTTTATCGATTTGTATTGTAATTACACTGTATTGCTTAATTATGTATTGATTGAATTTGTATGTACTTTGTATGTTTATTGCTATTGTAAATATTGAATTGAATTTGTATGTACTAAGTGATATTGTATTTAAGTTATACTGTACTTTGTATTTATGCATTTATGTGTTAGTGGTAGCCGCTACCAGCCTTGTTGCTGCCTGGTTGCCACTTGTTATGCACTGTTGCATTTAAATAAACAAACAAACAAACAAACAATACTAGTAATATGACATGTATTTCTGGATATGCGCATTTCCTATTAGAACGTTGGGTGATATTCGTAGGTGTCAAACCCGCATTGGTTTTACTAGAATTACGGTGCTACGTATACGATATCTGGATAATGTACGAATTCTCCAACTGGGGCCTTACATTTTGACTAAAACGTAATACAAAATGATAAGTATGAAAGGATAACGACTTTACATGAAATAAAAACACATGGAAGGGGACTCGGAAGAAACAACGTATCATTCGTCAACTTCCGTGTTGTAACAAAAAAATATTATATACAAAATAACTTTATAAAACCACCATTTCATATGTACTGTTACAAATCATTACATCACAGTCGCATGTCATTACAATTCTGTGTACCGTAGTGATTGGGCAAACTTCTGAACTTTAAACGTTATCAAATCTAACTTTTTTTACAGTTCTCTTTTTCAATACTTGTGTTCACCATATCCTCTCTACTTTGTGCTGTTTGGACGTCGTAATTTATGTATATATTCTTTGTTTGGTAGTGAAGTGCTGGTTGTTTGTGTGATCTGGCCGGCTACTCCCCGTCCCCACTCCCGCTTCCACTCCCATCGACGTAGTCCTCGTCGTCGTTCGCCGCGGCGTCACACGACCTCGTCCCGGGACAGACGCGAGGCTGTGCCGCATTTCCAGCGCACGTCTCCCCGTTATTCCGCGGGGCAGGGTTGTTGCATCGCCGTACCCGCTGCTGGATCCCCCGGCCACAAGTCGTCGAACACGGACCCCAGGCGCCCCACCGACTCCACTGACCGTGAACTGTAATCAAAGAGGTGCAGAACTTCAGAATTTTAAAGTATCGGTATTGTGCCTCTCCATTATATAGGAAACTTAATTGACACAACAAAAGTACATCGACTTTCGTAAGGTCCTTAACTACATGTAAACATACAGACAGAAACATAGGTACAGCAAAATATAGACGTAGAAGTAGTAAGTGGTGACTGCTGTACGTGTAAATGTTACCATTCTACTAATACAAAATTCATAGATTCTTACCACACATAGACAATGTCAATTATTTCGTTTTGACATTCCGGACTTGATTTGTTTCTACTGAATGTTGTCACAATGCTGTGGCCTGACTAAATGTATCAGCTTTTGCAAGCCGTCTGGTAGGAAATAAATACTAGTAATAACCCCACACGTTGGTTGAAAGCTTGAAGATCTGACTGAAGTTAAGCCATGACTTACCGACGCCTGGTCTTCTGTCCTCTTCCTCTCTCTCCTCCTCCTCCGGGACCTCCCCGCTGCCGCTCCCGCCCACCATGTCCTCGTCATCCCCATCTTCACCGAACCCGGGGAGCTCACCACTGCCCTGTTCCTGTACGGGGAAGCGGAAGGCATTTGGTAAGTGGCCACATTGTCTCAAGCGAGTCAAGCCTCAGGTGTAATTTTAATAGTATACGTTTTGTGAATATAAGTAGGCTGAACCAATGAGGACAATGCACCCGAAGCGATTTCATGACTACCCTGGGTGCCAAACTAGCATCGGGCCGTTAGCCGTTTTCCTTCGGCAGCCAAGAGCCCTTCCTCTTGGGGGAGTCGAGCCCATGCAGGCCCTAATACGGGCTCAGCTCCCCCGTAGCGATAATTTAGATAGGCGGGGGAAGGGCTCTTGGCTGCCGATGAAAAACGGCTAACGCACGGCCCGATACAATGTACTAGTTTGGCACCTCGAGTATTTCATGGCAAGAAAAGTAGATTTTCAAAGTCAATGTTCTGGTCATTTCTTCAGTGTAGTAAGTTGAGTCAACTCAACCCTATCCTGAAATATTTCCTCACTCAGAATAATTGTTGCCTTGTTTTGCCGCGCTGAAATTGCGTCGGATGCATGCCTTTAAAATAAAAATAGAAAATAAGATACTACAGACATATCTTCCCGACTTACCTGGTCGCATCCCTGCCCGTCACCACGTTCACACCCAGACCCATCTGTAGGTATAAGAAAAGGGAAAACCTGTCAAGCTATTACCTTTGTGTGCATGGACATCAATTTGGAAATGTTATAACTCGATAATGCAGGGTTTTAGTTGAGTCCTATCCGGCCATACCTTCCGGCTCTTCGCCTCCTCCGGGAGGACACTGTAGCGGCAGACCGCGGCACCGTCTGTGGTCCACCGCCGACTGCGGGCAGTCTCGGCCCCCGTGCCTTGGAGTTGGGTTGTCGCACGTCCGTACGCGCTGTTGGAACGCTATACCGCAGGTCTGTGAGCAGGGCCCCCACCGTCCCCAGGCACTCCAACCTCCGTCAACTGAAACAAAAGTTAGTGATTAATATCAGTTCATCTTTTTTTACCTGACATTTCCCTTTCTAGCCTCCACCAAACCTTCATATTTTGGATAGTAGAATTTGACAAAAATAGGGTCTGACTGGCTAGGGGAGTCGGTCTACCGTTGGAGTTTCATTTCCCACTCAACTGAGCGGGCAAATTAACGTACTCCACCGTGTTTTGGTGTTGCCAGTTTGGTGGGGACTAGTCAGTTTCAAACGTCTACTTGAAGACTCCAAGTTAATGAAAATGCACATTAGTATTATATTCATATATGAAAATATACCTTATGTATGACTTCCTGGACGTAAAACGAGGATCTTCGTCAATATCAACAACAGTTGTAAGAATTAGGAAAGAGAAAAACACCCCTGGTCCCGGGCCGGGGTTCGAACCCACGACCAAACCCGTGCACCAATCCACATGCCGACGCTCTAACGACTCGGCTAAAATGTCTAGACCCATCAGCCGGGTCAGTTAGTAGCGTCCCCACCTTTACACAGTTGTAAACATCCATACCTGCATCCGGACAAGCTGGGAGATTTCGGCACGGTTTGGTTTTGCTGTTCTCTCCCTCGCACTCCCTCCCTCCGTTCTGGGGCTCGGGGTTGTCACAACTGCGCATGCTCGTCTGGAAGCTGTCTCTGCCACACGTTTTCGAGCATGCGCCATAGGGGCCCCACTCACCCCACTGGCCATCCACTGTCGGATAAGATTTTCCATTTTCATAAATGTAGCTCATCTTTGGCGGATACATAACTTCATAAAACTCAACGAGTACGTGTATATCTTTATAAAAAAAGGTACAGTTCATTAAAGACATCAAACGTGATTTCAGGACGGCAAAATAAAGATATTCTAGATGCAGAAATCTGACGTTGACATTTAGTGCCATTTCTTAGCATATTTTCGTCATCATTTTGATACTCGAAACATCTGAAATAGCCCAGTAAAATCTACGCAAAGAGTCCCTTTATTTTCGGTACCACCAATAAATGTGTAGAACCAACGAAGAATTTGTAGAACGATACGGAGCAAGCAAAGCAACCGCTTCCGTCAGCGACATAATTATAACGTTTTTTGATTCACAGATATCAGCATGCCACTTGTTGTGCGACCTTTATCAATCTCAACTACGACTTGATCAAAGTAAACATTCACTTGAACTAAAAAAAAAATACATGTATATTGCAGGTCATGTTCACAGTACCTGGGCAGCCTCTGACGTTGATGCAGTCACGTGACTCAATGAGCTGTCCCCTGCAGAATTTCCCGCCAAATTTGGGCCGGGGGTTCCTGCAGGCGCGTGAGCGGACCTGGTACCCCACCTGTCCCGTACACGCCTTGGCCGAGCAGCGGCCCCACTGGGACCAGTCCGACCAACCGCCGTCAACTGTACAGGTGCACAACGAACAAGTGTATTCAGTTACGATCGAAAGAGTCATCTTCTTAAAAGGCCCTTAAAGGGGCATCATGTAACATTTTTGCACCAAAAATTGAAACATTTTAACTAAAAAATCTTAGTATAATTGCAACTGACTTCCACTTTTCTACATATTTGTGTAATTATCTCACAATTCTGAAATTTATGGTTGGCCCTAAAAAGGTGCACTCATTTTGTGGCACCACCACAAAATACCAGATAGTAAACAAACATGACTGACAGCCGTATGTATTTCCAGCTTTTAAACAAATTCGCAAGGTGTCATACTACTAGTAGTATTTTGGAATACGGTCGATTCAACTTACTTTGTAAAGAAATGGCCAGAAACTTGACTTTTTGTATCCTCCTAAAGTCGCAGAATACAGCTTTATTATGCCTTTACATTAGCCATTGTAACGCAAAAGATCTTTAGACTATAACGCTAGTTGTGAGTTAGCCTTACTGACCTGGACAGTTGGGCACGCGTGTGTTCTTACACTCCATGAACTGTGAATCGCCGCCGTCGTTTGGTGGACACTCCCGTCCGCCGAACTGTGGGGCCGGACTGTCACAAACGCGCGTGCGCCGTACTACCCCAGTCCCGCATGTCACACTGCAGCTGGACCATCGGCCCCACTGTCCCCACTCGCCGTCAACTGCGGAATCAGGTAAGTTGTCGATTAACAAAGAGAGAAATAAACCTGTATAGCTTTGTACAAAACCTATTTCTTTATTTCAGACACTAAAGCACTGTAGAAAAATTCATATTCAAAGTTCAAAACCCATTTCTCTTCGTTCAAAACCCATTTCTCTTCGTTCAAAAACCGTTTCTCTTTGTTCAAAACCCATTTCTCTTCGTTCAAAACCCATTTTTCTTCGTTCAAAACCCATTTCTCTCCGTTCAAAACCCATTTCGTAACTGACGGATAAAAGTCTCACCAGGACACGGGCCCACGTTACAGCGCTCTCTGTCGCGCGCCTTCCCCGCACAGTCATTCCCGCCGAACTGGGGCTCCGGACTGTCACACTGCCTCCTCCTGCTGCGCGTAGACTCGCCGCAGGTGGCGCTGCAGGCGCTGAAAGGTCCCCATGGTCCCCACTGGCCGTGAACTTGAAAAAAGAACATGTAAAATTTGATAACTTCAACATTGAGATGATAATCAGATGGCACTCATGTCCATATCGTACATCTCGCGTTTTTTTTACATAAGCACCTTAAACTACTAAAGGGACATTTATTTTCACACAAAAAATGAAATATTCTAATTTCATAAAATCTTAATGTGATTTTGATTTTAAAACTTCCTCTTTTCAACATATTTATGCAATTATCTCACATTTCTGACATTTATGATTGGCACTGACCGTTGTGTTTCCAGCTTTTGAACACACTTGTAAGGCGTAATATTTTGCCACCTCCAGTTCGAAATTCCTGAATGACACTTACTTGCAACGGAGTAGGATTGATTCAACTTACTTTGTAGGGAAATTACCAACAAAAATTGTATCGTCCAAATGTTACATAGTGCAACTTTAAGTTTCCTATACTACAGAAATATCTTAACAAATACATTTGTAAACATGAAGGCACTTACCCGGACAGGGTCCCTGGTCACACCTGCGCAGTTGTAGAGGTTCTCCCTCACAGTCCCTCCCCCCGTACTGAGGGGCGGGGCTATCACACAGCCGCACCCTCTGGTGTAACCCCGCCCCACAGGACACACTGCACTGTCCCCACTCCGCCCACTCACCCCAGCTACCCGCAACTGGGAAAGATGTGGGTTTAGAGGTTACCGTTACATTATACAACAGTAATGCAGTAACGCTACCTGTCAATGTAAATATTGCTCAATTAATGCAGTGGAAAATGAAACACATTCTGAAAAACAGTGTATTTACTACGATATCGACGGAAATTTAACCAATTATTTTAAACAGTTGCCACAATAATCTCCCATCCTTTTACTATCTAGACGATCCCCGAACATAAACACTACATTTCTACGTATACTAAGTTCACACAATACCCACTCTTTACACAAAAACGAGGGAAAATTCATTACCCACTGCCCTCAAAGGAGGAGTCAAATCCCATAGTAGCAAACGTAGTAGTACTAGTATCATATAAGATGATGAGACATGTTCTCTATTGCTTCACTTTACTAGTCTGACACTGTGTGTGCAGTTAGCCGTCGGGCATGATTTTGCAAAATAAAGAATATTATAAAGGTACATAGACATCCTAAGCGAGACCAACGTTGTCTACAGCTCGAAGCCCCCACCACGAACTTAACTACATTGCACATGATATACTACTGACCTGGGCATGGATCCTGGTCACACGGTCGCACCTGTGTCTCGGGACCGTCACAGTTTTCCGGGTCGCCCTGACACCGCCTGCGTCTGTACTGCCACCCCTGGCCACAGCTGGTAGTGCAGCCCTCCCAGCCGCCCCACTCAGTCCAACCTTGGGGGACGGGAGCCAATAGCCAACCATAAGCGAAGATTAGGCCTTTAGGTGTAACACACCAGTTTTGTACAGTAAGTACAATCTGCGTAAGACCAGACTGTAAGGTTTGAATAGAAGGGACCCATATGTGTTTCTGCACCTCATGTTGTAGTCATCTTAACTTCAGAACGCCTTTATGGATTGTGGTGATATTTGGTTTGTTGATAGGTCGTAGGAAGACAAAGGTCAGATTCAAATATGGGTCTCCTGGTGGCTGACCTTCGTACAGCAGCAGAATTTCCTTTTTTGATCTTTTGATCTATGAGTCTTGACTAGTGTGGCGTAATCGCTTATAACTGAATTATGAAGAAAAAAAGCACACCTACCTTCCCTTTCTTCATCATCAGCAGCCCTGATTTCAGCACAAGGTACGCATCTTTTTCCCTTCAGGTTTCTAGAATATCCCTGCGCCAAGGGCTCTTGACTGCAGCACTCCTCTGCACTACTATAGTCTCCATCCGCCTCGATCTCTTCCGAACACCTTCTTGTGGCAGGGTCGAATTTGCGCCAACACACTTTAGCTCCTAAATGATACATAATTCACTTGTCACCATTATACTCTTTTTCGTAAGGGATACTAGACAGAGATTGCCCAATACTAGACTGTCTTTCACTTTTCTCTCCATATCTGCTTGGAGATCCTTAGATCTTGGTAGAGACATCTATAGTAATATCCACGACACGTGACGAATATTTGATTTGCCAAAATATTACTGTATGACAAAACATCAGAAGACCCCAAGCCTTTATCAATAAAAATGACAAATTATAAGTTTTCTGATACGGTTTAGCTACAAAGTAAACACTTATGACTGTTGTGACATGTGTAAATCACGAATCGAGTTGTTTATCCTGGTAATCGTCTCACAATTGTCTGGAGAGATTTATTGTGTATTTAGCTAATGGTGGCCTGTTGGGACTTTTAAATAACGACATTCTAAAATACACACCGATATAATGAGGAAAAGCAGCAGTATTTACGACATGCAGTGACCTTGCGAAAAGGGATACAATGATAACGTTGAGGAACAAAATCACGATCGTTTCATAAAACAGAACTGAAAACTTCGTCTTTTTCTCGGAAAAAAATGTGCCGCTGTGATATACAGGGAGTTTCCCAACAGCTGTCCTTTCTCTCAATCTTTTGAGTGTATAGCACTACGCAAGTTTCCATATGCATACACGTTGCACGCGTTATCGGTTTCTACTACTGCTATTTAACGACATCACAGCTGAAACGTAGCCAGCTGTTCTATTACCCAGTTTCCACAAGGAAAACTGAGTCACCCTATACCGACTAAAGGAGGAATCTCTGGGGAGATTTAAATAAAGATGGAGAACAAACGTTTTGCCTAGTACTAGGTATGCGCATTTTCGCCGATTTACGTTCGCCAGATTTACAGTCATTAGGTATAGACTAGCCTGGGTACCTACCCGGTTAGACAGCCGTATACATTTTAAACACAGATGATTAAAAGGTTCATGCGTTCAAAGATAACCAGTGTTTACACTCTGTAGGCTTTTACGAGGAGAAAGAGACAGGACGGGCAGCTCTTTTTTAGCAACGTAGAGATACCGGCGAGCCTACGAAGGTCAGGCTACGAGGCTGTTATCCCCTAGCCTCTACCAGGCACCGCGGATCGCTGGAAAAATAGTAGAAATTGGCCGAAATAAAGGAATAATATACCAAGGGAGGTAGCCGGCCAGAGAAGATCCACGGTAGAGGCTAGTTATCCCCTAGTGTGGACTAGTGAATAACTAATCACTAATCTCCAAGCAGATGTTTCGGTGGCTGCAAAATACAGTATAAGATTGGCCAGGCAGTATTAATTGGCCAGTTGGGTGGCAAATTGATAAAGTCTGGCCATTGGGTACATGCCTGGCCAATTTGATACACTAACTGTATTTTGCAGCCACCGAAACATCTGCTTGGAGATTACCCGTCACCATGGTAACGGTGCCTGTGGGGGTGAACGCCCCCTGACTGTGCGCGGAACAGGAAGAATCTGTCCCGTCAGATAAACCAGCTAAAATCCGAGGACATTCCAAGATGGCAACCGTCATCTGGGAAAGTACACTGGCTACTCGTACGTACTGCACGTGCTGGTATTGTCATTAAGTCCAGAAACTGTTAGATGCAGCGTACTAAACTCGACAATCAGCCTACTTCATTCTCATTACGAATTCGGTAAAAGTTGATAAGAGATTTACAAATACCACTACTTTAAAGGCGTTCTTGAGCCCAGCTATAACTTGCATTTTAGATGCAATTTGAGAAACAAGGAAGTGCAAGTACGTGCAAGGAATTACGTAATATTTATCGTAACTGAAACAACGCTTGAATGGACAGTATGAACTCATGCGGTGACTCAACAATAGCTATCAATAATCTTTTATGGGAATTTGCGATTCTGCTTTTTGTTGCGCTTAATTGTTTTTAATTTGCAAACGTAACAACACGATTTGCTAAGCAAACACAAAAGTATTCATCCCGTTTTCTGGGAAGACAACTGTGAAAACACCCGTTTTTTTCTGGGAATCAGCAAGTATAAACACAGGAATCTATCGCTGACTACTCATCCAAGAAATCGCTCCGTTTCCTTGTGGATTGGGTTTTTGTGCCCAAGGCGATTTCAGGGTAGTAAATCTGGATTTTCATTTTTTTTCAACGTAGTAAATTGAATCAACCCTATCCCATAACATACTGATATCTGTTAGGCACAAATGTGATGTCACTGACGGAAGACGGTTGCCGCAGTCAGTGTTTCGTATCGTTGGTTGGTTCTAGCTATCTATCATTTGTGGTAAATAAATGAACTCCTAGATCCTCGTTTTGCTTGTTTAGGGGCTATTACAAACGCTTCAAGTATGAAATGATGACGGAAATGTACTAAGACATGACAGTAAATGTCAATATTAAATTTCCTCATCCAGAATATTTTTTGTATTGCCACGCTAAAATTTCATGTGATGCCTTCAATACCAAATCATACCGTGACCGTTTTACAACAATCTTACATATAATGTACCTTTAAAAACTATAGGCAGCGATATATATCTGTCGTATAGTATGAATAAAACGTCGCTAATATGAGTTTATCTCGGCTATTAATTTATACTCTAGTACGAAGTTATAAGGCATCATAAATGTATAATTTACGTAGTAGTACCAGTGGTGGGTTACACTTACCTGACACGACGTTTGCCAAACATACAGCGTGCAGGAAAAGCAAGAAGAGTCCGCTTTTTTCAGCCATGGTACGCCGTGTACGGTACTCTCTACTCCGAGCTTTGAAAAGAAGTACTTCGAAATAGTGAAGAGCCACGCCAGCTGACGAGTTTTGTACACTCACGTGGGGAAATCACCGTTTCTTTTCCAGTAGCTCGAGTCATCAACAGGAAGGATGACGTTTTCCGTGCTGAACAGGGAAGCTGAGGGGAAACCACGCGCGTGCTGGCACAGGCGTAAACCGGAAGTTCCCTCTCTGACTTTCCCCACAACCGGAAGTTCTGACAAGATGTTGGCAAGAGTGGATCAGTGGCGGGGACTCTGACCTTTGGGAGGAACCTGAGGCGATAAGTGGTTGATCTCCAAGCAGATGTTTTACGGGGACCGTTTGTCAGAAAAAAAATCTGCTTGGGGAGTAAATACATAATTTGTATGGCATTGTATAGTAGTAACGATTTGGAAAAGCCGGGCGTTGTGCTTTCCCGATGATAGCTACTAAATGCAGGAAGAGGGAGGATGATAAAAAGAACCTAAAATTGCAGCAGGCCCCATTCGATAAAAATGACGATAGATGGATAATTAATTAATTACATGTAATTAATTAATTAGGAGAAGACAATTAGTTACGCAAGGACGCTGTCATTTTGCGATCCGAAATGTACCCTCTCTGGCGGGCTAAACTCCCCTGGTATACCCTTTATTTGGGCCAATTTCTACAATAACTATTTTTCCAGCGATCCGCGGTACCTGGTACCGATAGAGGCTAGAAAAGAGAGCCGAAAAGATTTAAAGGGAACGTAGCCCAAACTGTGACTGAGGCCCTCCCCGTTCTGTCACGGTTAGTTGAATAGCAATGACCTTCGATGGACTTTGATCTGGTTCCTTTTCACCCACTTAAAACAGAGCCCACGTCTGAAAAGTCGGTCAAGTTTTACACCTACTGAAGTACCACTTTACGTCGACTTTACGTATGTGACCTGACGTTGTTATACCTATTGAAGGATGGCAACTCGATCCCCGGCATATTCCGGTCCGGACCCGATACCATATGTTGAATACCGGGGTATACAGTTTTGACCATTGGATACCCAAAGACCGGCAACTATTAATATTGCGACTTCATTGAGTCTCAACAGATAAGGTGTCGTAGGTGACTAGAAAAACTATTTCACGGAGCCGCAGAGCGAGGCGTTTGACAAGCGCTTCAAAGAAATATTCGAAGGAAGTGGTCTGGAGTTTGAATATGAGTAGACCCTAAGTATTTCACCCACCTTTTGAAATAAGTGTGAAATCGACGCTAAAGTGTTGGGTGTTTTAGAATTTTGACTCGCAATGCAAAATCACTTTTAATATGTTTTTGGAATCCCTGACGTGTTGTACAAAACATCAATTCACCCTCGTGCTGCAATGCTTTTTAGCAATAAACTGTTACTACTACTACTGCTACTACTACTACTACTACTACGACTACTACTACTACTACGACTACAAATGTACTACTAGACTACTTCAAGTACCAGTACTGCTACTACTACAACATGAAAACGTAAGAAAGTTGAGGCATTGATGATCAGAAAATAGACATAGAAAATAGACTAATACTACAAATGTACTACTAGACTACTTCACGTACCACTACTAATACCATTAATACTACTACATGAAAATGTAAGAAAGTTGAGGCATTGAGCAGAAAGTGGACATCTTGCAAGATGATTGCACACAGTAGGCCAGCAGATCGTCTTGACTTGGTGGAAATTATATCAATATGCTTGGACCAGGAGAGTGTGTTCGTTAAGGTGACACCTAGATGTTTGTAACTAGCCACAACTTCCAGGGTAGTTCCACCCAGAGTGACTGGTACATGGGGCCTTGGAATGTTGCGAGTTGTGATGTACATCACCTTGCACTTATCCCTGTTTGCTTCCAGTTTCCACTGTGTGAGCCAGTTTGATACAGCTAGAGCACAGGTCTCTGTTAAGTGAGGTGACTACACGTTGGATTGATCTGTTACTGGTGGACAGTGAGGTATCGTCAGCGAACAAGTTTGGAGAACACCGAGTACAACAGGATGTTGTGTCGTTGATATACAGGATGAACAGGGTGGGCCCAAGAACGGACCCTTGGGGGACGCCGGCAAATAGATTGAGATCATCACGTGATTCCTCTGGACCGATCACTGCGCATGACAAGTAGTCTGCTGAATTACTGCTTTACAGAACCAAAGTTGTGCTTCAGTACTTTAGTTAAAACGTTGACTGTACGCTGTGAAAATGAATTACATTTTTTATTACCTTCGCCAAGAAGGTTATGTTTTCGGCGGCGTTCGTGTGTGTGTGTGTGTCTGTAAGCAGGATAACTCAAGAAGGCTAAGATGGATTTTCAGGAAAGTTGGTAGGTGGTTAGGTCTTTATGAGACCTGGAAAAGATTAGATTTTGGGGCCCCTGGTGGCTTGTCCTTAAAACTACGATGGAGTATGAAATAACTTCAAAATGCCAAATTTGAATTTATATATTTTCCCCTTGATTCAATTGGTAGTTGCAAGAGGTGTGGTTGTTTTATTTATCCCTGTTCTTGTATTGCCTTTCAGGCGTCGTAGGTGACTGGAAAAACTATTTCACGGAGTCACAGAGCGAGGCGTTTGACAAGCACTTCAAAGAAATATTTGAAGGAAGTGGTCTGGAGTTTGAATATGAGTAGACCCTAAGTATTTCACCCACCTTTTGAAATTAGTGTGAAATCAAGGTAAGCAATTTTAAAGTGATACTTTTGACTCGAGTTTTGACTCGCCATACAACATCACTTTTTAATGTGTTAGGTGTTTTAGAATCCCTGACTTTTTGTACAAAACATCAATTCACCCTCGTGCTGCAATGCTATTTAGCAATAAACTGTTACTACTACTACTGCTGCTACTACTACTACTACTACTACGACTACAAATGTACTACTAGACTACTTCAAGTACCAGTACTGCTACTACTACAACATGAAAACGTAAGAAAGTTGAAGCATTGATGATCATAAAATAGACATATTGCAAGGTGATTTATTGCCTTGATATTCTACCAGACAATCGATATACTCTTACACTTGGTTTGTATCTGTCTGTGATATGATCATATTGCAAAAAGTATAAAACAAGCCATATACCCGCTTGAAGACCATCTAACGGCCATCAATGAAGCAAGGTTCTTCTGTGCCGGTACATATTTGCCACTCTGAATACAATACATGTGAGCTGGACATTTTGGGGGCATTACATATAAACTACTCAGCAGCATATGCCTACTTTTTGACACAAACACAAACTGAGACAAAAGAGTTTTAACTCTTTTTAAAAATCGATTGGTGAATATACGTTTCCGAAAAAAAATCCATACATATTTCAAATTCCTACCAGAATAGAGCAGATATATATAACACGCTGAGCGCAATCCATTTTTTTTTACAAAATTGCTTTTTTTAATGACAACATAACCCATTAGAACATTAGACATACATTTCTTGAGATATTATAAATGAACAGCAAATCTTTTATAGTATATACTGTTTTAGACGTCTGTCACACGTCCTTGCGAAACAAGGGTATCTATTCCTTCATCTTCGCTTGCTTGCCCTCCTCGGGAAACACTTGGATATCCTCCCGCATTTCTGTCTCCATCACCGCGAAACTGTTGGACATGTTTTTCGAGAAGAAACACACTCGGAGAGAAGTGTAGATTCGGGCCAGTGAGGTTCCGAGCGGTCGAGATGTCGTCTGATTCGGTCGGCTCAGGGACCACATCACCGGCTGGCTCACTGTGGTGTGTGTGACCTTCCGCGACCCCGCCGTTCGGAACTACGTTGTTCATGACAGGTGGCGAGTTGGTAAATGTGGCTTCACATGGCGGCACCGTGTCAGGTGTCCTGCCCCCAGATTCAGAAAACTCCCGTCTAAAAACATCCCTGGACTGGTCTGTCACGTGTTGGGCACCAAACGGACGGTTGTCACGTATGGACACGTCGGAAGGAGCAACCAAACTCACCGAACTCCTCTCATAGTCAGCATCATAGCCATAGTTACGAGATTGTCCGTCCAGTTGAGGAGAAGAGTAAAACCCACCGAAGTCGTGCTGTTGCCCGTTACCGTGTGAGCCATGACTGTAGTACGGGTGGAGACAGGTGTCGTCGCCGCCGCCACATGCCTGACTGCTGCCCTGGGAGTCCTGGAACCAAGTCGGGTGAGCGGTCTGAAACGCCGTCATCTCATCTATACACCTCTTTAGCTTCCTGTATCAACACAACAACAAACTAATGAATGAAAATGTAATTACAGTGGTGTGATACAAATGCAAAGCAACGAAAGCAGAGAACAACCCCATAAAAGGGATTGTAATCTCCATGCATATTTTTCGGTGGCAGAAAGAAAAGCCAGTAACAAATTGTCCAGACAGTATCCATTTGTCAGGCAGTTACCATTTGCCACCTGTTTGCCTGGTGTAAAAAAAACGATAGCAGTATAAAGAAAGAAAGCCTAGTAAAAACGCCGAAAAACACACCAAAAATTAGCCGAAGCCTAAACTGCTGCTTGGAGTGAAAAATACCGTAGAGGCAGGGAATCCAAACGTGTATTACATTCTGTACTCCAGCAGAATGGATATTACGAGGAAATTAGAACAAGACATACCCTCCCGCCTCTGACAGGTGGTACCTGTCCTCCCCTAACTCTGGCAGGGCGATATCAGGTCTTGCAGGACGGCGGTCCCACCTCAGTAAGTGCAAGTAGAGTTCTTCAAAGTGCTTCATCAACCTGTCAGAAAAGGTAGCAAAGGGTTTTTCTTCTCACATTCCTCTCAATCAATTGCACTCTCTTGAGCTACAACAAAGACGTCTTTTCACAGCCAATCCTACATGTAAGTACGTGGTCTAGACACATACTTAGAAGTTCAAGACTGCACGTGTCGCTTTTCCAGTTTAAAGATTTACTACTAAGAGTACTCTATAATGACCACCGCGTACTCAGTTTGTGACACCACCACAAAATACCAAAAATGTAATTTAATAAGGCTGATTAGGTGTTGTTTTTTTCAGCCTTTGATGAACTCGTATGGCGTAATACTTTGGTACATCCAATCCTTGAGTCGGTGAATGGCACTATGCAATTGATGGCGTGGGGTTAATTACTTACTAGTACTTTGTTGAGAAATGGCCAGGAAATTGACTTTTTGTATCGTCCCAACGTTACATAATGCTAGCCTGATTGCCAGACCTATTATAGCTCCCGAGTCCTACATCCTCTGCGGACTATGGGAGCTATGATAGGTCTGGCAACCAGGCTAACATAATGCAGTTTTAAAAGGTACAAGATCTTGCATACATGTAGTTGTTCCCAACGTTGAGCGCACGCGGTACGTCCTCCTCGCTTGAGTATCTGAAGTATGCGGTGATGTACTTCTCAAACGTGCTCTGCCGATGGAACTCTGAAGAGATGAGGTGGATGGCGGGCCGTACCATGTCTCCACAGGGAGGGGCGTACCGGGACATGACCGACGGCTCAGCATTCACGATGTCCTCCCAGATACGCTTGGTGCCCTTGGAACACACCACGATGACCTTGGAAAAGAATAATTGACAAAAGTTGAAGCTGTGTTAAAATAATCATTTCCAAGATCAGGTAGGCCACAACTCCTGTCGTGCAAAAACTTCTAGAGGCGTAAAACTCCTATCGGGGACCGATCCCAAAAGTCAGTCACAATTAGGTTATAGAAGTTCAACCAATTGAGAAAAAGGGAAATCATCGCTTCGACCAATGTGAGAGCGGCTAAATGTCCGTCAATATTTTGTTTTTGCGGAGGTGGGCGGGGCTTCAGGATCGGTCTATTGGGCTGCGGGACCGTCTACAAGCCCAAATATAGCCCGCCCAAACCACGATAGCATCGGACAGAAGACTAGAACCAACCCGCTTAGCTCTCTCGATCTGCCCGCACAGCCACGGGATCTTCCCCAGCCTCGCGATGGACTGCATGCAGTAGTCGTCCAGCGTGACGTCACAGCCGCAGATCTGACGTAAGAAGGCGGCGAAGGCGCGCACGGCCGTCCTCGTGCAGCGGGTGGTCATGGGAGTAGATCAGCAGCACGGGGATGACGGAGAAGTGGTTGGTTCTGCCCGGGGCCGCTGGAGCTAGGGTTTAGGATGGACATCAAAGATTTGTGCCTTTTGTGAATCTTACCTACCCACACATATAATAGTACCAATGGTCGAAGAGAGACTAAAATTACATACTTGATGGGTACAAGAACATATTATGTTGACGATCATAAAATATGGCTGGAAAATACTTCAAATTTCATGCACGCCGGAACAGCAGATGGAATATTAACACATGAGGACTTCCAATTCAGCACCAAGGTCAGCCACCGAGTCATGCAAACTGTTACCTTCCAAGTCGATGGAATTCGGGTTTAACAACGGTGTAGTACATACAACATGTAGGTTATTCGTACGTCCAGTAGTCTATGTATATTATATTCTAGTCTGATTTACAATTTTCTGGCCGTTTCGGTAGTAACGCCTCCGTAGATCCCTCGTCCTGTCCGGAAGCGCCCTGGCTGTCTCCATGTCTTTGGCCCTGTGCTATCATTCGCCGCACGCCGTTGTTGATTGCCGTTGTTATGCCGTTCCCATCCGGTTGTTCATCGTCTGGTAGATTGCATGTCTCTGTGCCTGCACATGTTAAACGATTTGTGAACACTTCATAGTAGAGTGGATTCATTCCTCGAGCATACCGCAGTCGTCCCTCAGTAAAAGAAATCTGGAGCCGCGTAGTTCCCGTTGAGAACTTTTATTCAGCCTGACTTTGGTGTTATAGATGTCAGAATGAATTCAATCTACTTTGTACATTTGTGAACACTACGTTGCACGTTCTTGACAAAAAAGGAACCTTAAAAGCAACTTTTAACATGGCACCATGGTCCCCACATGTGAAGTTTTAAGTAAAAAAAGTCTTTGATGTCCATACTAAATCCTAACTCAAACAGCCACGGAAAGAATCAGCAACTTATGAATACATGCAGTAAATGTTTGCACTCAAATATCGTCATTAAAAAGGACCATAGTAGAACACGTTAATAGTTACGATACATAGTTTAGTATTGATCTACTTGCCTCTTTGGAACTTCGCCCGTCTCCACATAAGGAACAACAGAACTCCCGCTACCAGCACGCCTGCAAGACTCCCCACAACCGCTACCATCAGTCGGGTAGGGTCCGACCCCAGTAGGCCCGATAGTTACTGTTGTAAGGGTGGGAAACCCGGTTGTAGTGAGAAAGCTGGTTGTAGTGAGAGAGCCGGTTGTAGTGGACGGTGTAGAGGTAGGGTAAGGGGTCGTTGTTGGACCTAACATTTGACAGCAGAATAACATTATCTCAGTATATGCATGCAAGTTACTGTTGTAAAGATGGTCTCCGTGAGAAAGACAGTTGTACTGTAACTTGTACATGTACGGTTGTAGTGAAAAAAACGGTTGTAGTAAGAAAGCCGGTTGTAGTTGGTGGTGTAGTGGTAGGGTTAGGTGTCTGTATTAGACCTAAAAGTTGACAGCAGAAAAACATTATCTCAGCAAAGTTTAACCTGTATCGCTCTTTACTGCTCAGCTGGTGAAGAGCAACAAAATTCGTTGCAGAGAATCTGCGAGACTCTGTATTCTAGCAATCTACGTCTGATTCACACATTTTTACTATTTTCTACTTTTAACATAGTAAATTTTGCAAACTTTTGGATTGAGATTTGCGGGTGATGCCCTGGGGCTAGTGGTAAATATTTCTGGGCTGTACTTGACAGAATGGTCAATGTTGAAAATTAAAATGAAAACAGTAGTGTACTGACCTTGCACGATAAATGGCCTCACAGTCATCGAGTCAATACAATCACACTCTCGCTTCTTCAACTGGGTAGAAAAAATACTTCCAAGTGATCAAACCAACTTCATTCTATCCCGATAATACAGTACAGTTTGTTTTCTTGCTCATGCATGACATGTCCGACACGAAAATGAAATCAAGCATATATCTCTCTTATCATGTACATTTCTTCTTATCGACTAATTTAAAAAAAAAAAGGCTGTCTTACCCTTAGTTTGACTGTATATCTTCCATTTGGAACGTCCTGGAACAAAACATTGCTCTGAAAAGACAACAGTATGGGATGTTAGCTATTACATTCATTCTCATGACATAGAGACATAGCATCCCAAGACTCGCCTGTAGATTTTCCATAGTCAATCGTCTTTCTAACCACACATGTCGACTCACCGTCGTAGTTTGAAGTTCCCTCTCCTCGCCCTTGTCTCCTGTGGGCTTGAGCCACACAAAGTAACCATCAAAGATGAACGTACTCGGAGCCGGGTCAAAGGTCACGTTCACGGTGCTTCCGTTCACAGAGACGTTGATATAGGCTGGAGTCCAATTGTCGGGGGTGACTTTTGATAGGATAGACGATTAATGAAGCGATTAAATACAACGTATAAAACACATACTTTTTATCATTCATTACTTTGGCATTTGCATATAGCACCACATTGTGGCCCTGTAAATTCACACAGCCATCTATAAAATAAGTATCTATTTTTCACATTAGATTACACAGAACGGTAAAAAGAACGACTCACCTTTGCACTCTTCCACTTTTTCCATGCCAGGTCTATCGCAGTCTAAAGAAAGTACAGAGTAAAGATGATAACTGTTATCCTAACATAAACAGGTTAATTAGTGGTTAACGACTGAAACCAGACATGTCTTTTAATCCTCGATATACATGTAAGGTTTCTTATAACCTATCCAGTGTTTTACAAACGTATGTTACAGAACGACAAATTTGACAATAGCATACTTAGCCCTATAGGCCCATATGATAGGACTGGACACCATACCCGGCATTGTAATGTCCCTAGACACGTTCTGGTCCTTGTGCCCTGGGCCCTGCTCCGGCTTGCTGTACAGGACTATGTGGTATGTCTTTCCCGGCAAGAAGATTTTGGGGTTGTCAGGGTCCTTTCCAAAACAGTTGTAGTAAAACTTCCTCTGTAACAAACAGAACGCGGCATGGAGATTTAGAAATTATATTCTTATACAAAATTGTACATTCAGACCCCGTGAAATATCTCTACGTATGTAGTCGTGCAAAATAAAAAAATCATGTTTGACGGAAACGTACTCTGGCCATCTTTACAGGCGATGCTAAACCATCAATGGAAAAAGATGTCGTGAGAGACATAGTTAGTACCTTTGGAGCTACCATGGACAACTTTGCGCCCGTGATGTTCAAAGTTACGCAGTAATTCCAGCCCAAATCATCAGAATTTCTGCTCATAACTCGGATCTGGAATCCCCGCACAAACACAATGGAACCTGCGAAGGGAGGGAAACGATTGTGAGAGCAACTTAAAATCCCACAACTACACTTGAAATTGTGGACGTAGATTCTCTCTTCTATGCCAGTTCACTCTAAAACTCAGTCTCTTTCTTTCTCTTTTTCTCTCCTTCTCTCGGCACGCTCGCGCGCGCGCGCGCGCGCACACACACACACACACAGACAAAACGTCAACACAAACACACACACATAACACACACAAATATAAACACTTATAAACACACACACATAGCCACACCTACCATCGTCTGGCGGTTCCCATGTGATGTTAAGCCCGAGGTGGTACTTGGCGTTCTCTCCGTCCCCTGACTGAAACACGAATGGCTCTGGTCTTTTTAGACTCGGTTTGGAAGGCGTCTGTGGACATTGTGTGGCGTTGTACGCGGTACACCACCAGTCGCACTCTGAGGAGGGAGAAACAGCTTGAAAAGACAGCTTGGCATATCTTCATGCATTTCAAATTGTCATCAAAACCATCAATCAATACAGTATTATAGAATATCGTTCAATGTTCTCAGTAACTCAGTGCATGTATCTGGGTATGACACACACAGGCGGTACAGTTCTTTTCAGAGTACAAAGAATTTTCAAAAAATCGTAAGATTTCAAAATTGATAAATCTTTACAAGATGATCACCTACCTTTCTCAACCCGACAGGGCAAGCCCTGGAACATATGAGAACAGTATACATGTATTAGTATTGGTGATCTACACTTTGTCTCAGAGAAGAGTCTAGTTTTCAATTTGAGTTTTCCTCAGTATGCCACGTTGTCAACATTACAGAACGAAGTCGACATTGTGACGCGTGTAAGTAATTCAGACGATGTTGTTTCCCCATATCCAATGCACCACAGAGGTACATTATTTCAGTGTCTTGAAAATGAAAGTAAAACGTAACAGCGCTTGTGTGGGCGAAATGCACAACAAACACATTTGTTTGTTTACTCTGTCTCTTTTTTGTTGTACCTGTTGTTTTATGTACTCGACACTTCCTTGTGGTCAAAAACCTTTTTTCCTGAACTTAACTTTTGTTTCCTCTCCCTCATTTAAAGTTCCAATTGCTATCAATCTAAAATACTTTGTCCCTGTCTTTACCGTTAAATGACCACCCCTCAACAACTCTCAGATGTACCCGCTGTAAACAGATGTGGGTGCCAGTGTGTTCCTGTCTGGTGTTTGACATTGAATGAGTACTGACGAGGCGCTTCACTTCATGTTATGTTCTGAGTCTTAGCACCGTTTCCGGTATGCGCACAGGTGACAAACAAAACCCGGATGGGTAGATGGGTGGACTAGTACGGTCTTGAGCAAGCAGTTCTCCCATACTTAGAATATGCAGTGCACACTGGCGTAACGTATTACGTAAATCTATAGCAACATTAAACTATCGCCAAAAGAACCTATCTTACCACAAGTACAAATCCTATGCAGAATTGACCCACAGGCACGTTATGGTTAAAGACAGTTTTGTTTTTACAGTGTATTTCTGAAAGATGTCACGCGCGAATGGGTACGTGTGATGGAGCCGGTCAAGTTACGCAGCATTCCAGGTGGTCGTATTACATGCGCTCCTGTGATCTCAGTAAGGTCAACACGTTCCAAAAAAGACAAACATACCTAAGACAACTGTCTGTTGTTTGGAGAATGGCTATTTTTCCGATAAACTTTAGCCTTAGGTGCTGGTTTAACATACCTTGCGGTACTGATCTTGTCCCTTTCTTCATCACCACACACGTAAACTATAAGTTGAACAACCATCCAAGTGACAGAACAAGGACCCCATTGTATTTCCTTAATTTTCAGTTACAAGACTTTTCCCAGCATTTCAGGCCAAATGTACATCACGTAGTCAGTAATTGATGCTATACAATATATACCCTTGGCCCGACAATTCCCAAGTCACCTGGTATTTGAATTATTAATGTTTCTGCTAACATATGGTGTTATTGCTCTCAGAGTCGACGGTGTAATAGAATGCATATTTGTACTCCTGTCACTTGAATGGATTCCTCTGTCTCCAGGGAGTGGCACAATGTTGTAAATGAAAATTACAGCAATTCGTCAACCACTCGGCATATATTATGGCCAAACATGTTATCCTACTGAGTGGAACTTGAATTATGTGTACACAGTTTTATTTGGGATCGTTAACAAACTACACGTCAGGGACTTTCCCTTCTTTGTCCATTTCTTTCTGACGCATATGATCGGAATTTTTGTGTGCATACATGTTCTTACATGTGTCGGACGCATTCTTTTGGACTATACAACTCAAATATCAACTTAACACATACAACACACACACACACACACACACACACACACACACACATAAACAAACAAAGACACACACACAGCATACACACACAAAGACACGAACATGCACACACGTGAGGCGTAAACACACACACACACACACACACACACACGCACACACGCACAAACACACACGCGCACGCACACACACACACATACACACACACATGCACACGCACACACACAAACACACACACGCACGCACGCATACATAAGAAGTACAAGCTAGTGAGGGACAACAATATACTAGTATCACAGGAAGATGGCAGGCAACTTACTTTTTCCATGACCCCTGGCTAGGCTTTTACAAATTATTCGTTGTTCACTGCACTAATCACCCTTTGTGACAGACAGCCCATAATTTCCAAAATGAGCATATATGTGGCAACGCACCGTACGTACAGTGCAAAGTACATCCGTCACAATACACACATATAACATTACAGGTCACATACAAACATACCGCTTAGTAATCGACAGGTCAGTTTCTCACCAGCAGGGGTTCTGTGGAAGAATTATCGATTTCTCGGAAGTCCATAGTAGCACCACATAAAGGTGTTTACAGAGTCAATCGGGCTCACGTACGTGACTCATGTACATAGGCATTCCGTAAAACAACATGTCAAAAAAACTTTCACATTCGTGCCATGTGCAACCATGTGAAACAATGACAATAAACCTTTCAATTCCTAAACAAGCCATATACACACAAACCTATAGAAATAAAAACAAGAGAACAAAAAGAATGAAATATGATACAGAAAGTCCACACGTACCAGGTTGGACGGTCTTAACTTAGTCTAATCTACTGGCAGCTTGCCATTTCGACAACAGATCTATTTGATGTGTTCAGCTCGCTAAGAAAGGTACAAGGTTTACCCACGAGACAACATTTTCTTTATGCTAAACAAAAAGATGGTTCTGGGTCATATCCACCTTTTCATGAGCTTCGAGACCAATGACAAATTGCTGAATAAAAGTGCTGAATATTGATAAAACAACTTCATAACCAGTGTGGTGTCCTGGTATACTTTAAATATGTAGTTTGATCTGCTGGTGGTATTTTAGCACTCAAGCACATCCTGAACTCCCGCCAAGTTTATTGACACATCGGGACGTTACAAAAAACACGTTCCAGTGTCGTTAAGCAATAGTAACACGCGCAACTGTAACAGGTGTACTTCAATAGCAATACCAAGATTTTGACTTGGGTATATGCGTAATACAGCAAAATCAATGACGGTGGGGGGTGGGGTGATCTCTATCGCTAAATTTGTAGCTTTTCCAACATTTCAATGTTGATTATATTGTTTGAAAACAGATGTGAACGTGAAGTTTATTAAAGCCACGCCCTTACCTGTTGGGAACAGTTTGAAGAGCAGTCCATTTCTCTAGTCTCAACCATTCTTGCCCGGCCATCGCTTTGTTGTGAAGCCAAGCACAACAGTAGAAGAAGCAAAACTCGTGTCCTCCAAAGGAACAACATGTTGCCTTGCAAGTTATATATTTTTGTAAGGTATAGTCAGGCTGTAAGTTGTACACGTACTTGTTGGAGTATGGTATAACCAGTCTGGTTCTTCACGGTAGCAGACCTTTCCGAGTTGAGGTATACTCAGGCGATGGAAATTCCCATGACACCTGTTAGAAAACACGCCACGGGCGGACACGCGAAAGTACTAGAAGTACTCAGCGCCAGGTCTTTTAACACGGCATTGTCACACAGTTACAGGATCGTCCGTTTCTTTTTACGCCTCGCACGCACACCTGGGGAAACGCCTTAGGTCACCTGTAGACGCCAGGTAGCCTTGTGGAGATCCGAACGTAGTCACCTGTTGCAAAGTTGCATGCCTGTGACGATGGCCGCTATGGTCTCAGTCAAGAGTGTCTAAAATGGCCGCCGGGGCTTCAGCTCTTACCTTACCTGTCCGACAGAGTGTCGCTCCGGGCGATCAAAGTTTGTGTTTACCTAGCTTTCAACGGCTGACGTGCTTGCCTGCATTTCTAGTTCACAGGACAACTTTGACTAGTAGGTGGGAGGTTGATGGAACTACTGTAAGCTACAAGGTAGATCCAAAGAATGATCTCCAGTGGCCCCAGAGTCGAGAAAGGGCCACTGATCTTTATGCATACCGGAAGAGTATAGGCGTGACACAGGTGCCACTTGATAGTATCCGAAACACAAATGCGGAAGTTTCTTGAAAATTCAACGTGAGCCAATCCCAACTCCGCGGATATAGCCAAGCGATATAGTAGTATGTTATGTCTAAATAGTGGTTTAAATACTTGAACTTGCGAGTGCGGTTGTCGCTGATTGAATGAGGGTTGGGAAAAGAAGATGATCTTAGATAAATCGTGATAAGAATAAGACCTCTATGAATGGGCGCGTCCTCTGCACTTCCGCTAGAGGTCGCTACTGTAATGTCATCTCCGTGGATACTGCAGGTAGCCCCTGTCGTTCTCGCACACTCTCACAGAAAACCGCGAGAACTGTGTACATGGGAACGAGAACTGGTTCGAGAAACTGTGAGATAATATTCTGGGCCAATAAAAGCGTTGCCTCCAAATAAAGGTGTTTATTTGGTTAATCCCTGATTTCTAGTTAATGATTTTATCCACTTATTGTGATTAAATAGGGTCAAATGTTTAGCGTTTGCCCGCCAGTGTAGGTTACAACATCCTGGTCACGAGCGTTGAAACACTGCGCTGTGATTGGTCAGCCGGAAGCACCGTTGGACCGCCATTTTTGAAGTGGATAAACAACAAACAGACAAGTAAAGGATCGCCCTGAGGGGAAGGGTTCATGAATAGACCTCTGTTTTCTTCAGCCGATAAGCGGTAAAACCCTGCAATTTTGACATGTCTGAAGACCCCAGGAACGGCAGCTTCTTATCTGCGTCAACGCCCGGTGATCAGAATGGGCGGTAAGTGATCTCACGTCATTGTTTTGAGGTTGTTCCATTGGTGGAGGGCGAGGAAATGTATGCTGCATGTCACGCATACCAAATCAGGAGCCAATTTTTGAAAAAAAGAAAATTAGACGCAGCCGTTTGCGATGAAAATCTGATCAATGCAGTCCTCTTGAGAAAGCCGGGAATTCTTGCAATCACACATGTTCAAGGAACCGCTGTTAGGCAGAGGGTAGGTGGACAGATACAGGACTGTTGGGGGTTTAGTTTTGGTTTGTTTTGTGAGATATTTCTGACGACAGACAGATCAACGCCTTTGTGTGCTTACTCGTGTCTTTTTGTCCTGCGGCACTCATGTGGGTTTTGCCTCATTTACCCTGTCAAATTTTGACAGATCCCGCTTGTAAAATGTGTTGTAATTTTGTCCTTGTTTAAAACAATAACTCCTTTTTGTTTTTAATTTGGAAGAAGGCGTATTTTCCTCCGATTTTAACCCGGAAATTCATACAGTATAGAGTGTTAGAGTATACTGTGTGTCGTGGAAATTTTTGAAATTTGTAGACGAATTATCTGTCAACGATCGAGCTAGAGTCTAAGACTGATACATATGTAATCTACGTTACCGCAAATTGTCTAAACATGGCTACAAAGGGAAAAGTGTTACTAGATAGTAGTATTTTGTCGTAATTATCACGAGAAATCTCCCCGGATATCACCCTATCTGTTGTGTAACTGTTGGTACAAGACCCGGATATCATCCCTAAACAATGGCGTCCCCATTGTTTCCTTTATTGACTCCTGCCCACGAAAGCACTTCACACTTTCTCATGTCCAAATAATAGTCTTCACCTGAAGGTTGTTGTCACCTGAGCTTATGTTGCTGGACAAGGTGAGAAGTGGGCAGGTGAATGGGGTTTGTTTGTACAAGGTTCTCAGCACCAGGCCAGATAGCTCAGGAAACAAAGGCAGTCAAACACAACTATCATGGGTACAACTTCTATAGGGTAGTAAGATGAAATTGCAAGCCATAATATTTTTCAAATCCCATGATATCAAAATCCTACAGAACAATCTTCTGTCAGTTAAATTATTACGCAGCGCTTCAGTGCTTTTAGTGGCAGTTTTGTCTGTGATAGATGTTACAGATGAACCATTTTTACGATTTTCGTCTTTGTGTGGTATATATGTATCCGTAACATTATAATTGAATGGTGTTCTTCCTTCTCCAGGCCTAGCCTTCGCAGACGCTCCAGGTCGAGTTCCTTCTTGACCCCCAGTCCAGCTCCCGACATTCCGGTATGTTCTTCAGCTAATACTGTAGTAGTAATCTGTGATTATGTTTTAGCCACCACTAGATCAACTTGTGCTAGTACATGTGTTACAATGAGTACTAGTGATTGAAAAAAATATGTCTACACTTAGTGATACTGATAGTTGATGGTTGCACAGAAAAATTTTTTTATACAGATTTATATTATAATCACTCTTATTTTTTTGCACAAGGAAAAATCTAGACTTTTGACATGCAGAACTCTGTATGGCATCAATGACATGAGAATAAATGAAGTGAAGCTTAGAATGAAGTCATTAGTGGAAGAAAATGATTTAATTCCCATCTTGACAATATGAGCTACGATTTGCCCACAGCGAAAGCGGAAGCGCGGGAAGGACGAGGACAGTCTGAGCGTGTGCAGTCTGGACATGAAGGTGAGCCACAAGGCCCGAGAAGTATGTCCACCCTTCATTATCATTCATGTCATGTGTCCCCAGTAACCACTCACAACGTCAGCTGCATGCAAGGGACTGGAGGTTTAAAATGAAGCACCCATTCTACTAATATCCCTTACACTTTTTGGTAACAATGTCAACTCAAGCTCTCATTCAATTTTTAGTTTTTTTAGAAAACATCCTATATGTAGCACTAATGCATGTATGGTGTACATATATCCCTGGGCTTAATTAAACAGTCATGCACATCTAATCCTAGGTAAATATCAACTTTAAACACTTCTAATGAGTTCTAATGCCCATTTTACAGTATTTTTGATAATGATAAATACATTATTTTGCTGGTAGAATTGTAGACAGGCAATATGGGTTCGCGCTGGTGCTGTCTTTAAGCTTACGGTAAGTATAAACTAAGAAAGACAACAATAACTTGCCATGTGATTAGTTGATTCCGCCCTATTAAAAACTAGGAAAAGCATATGGCACGTGTATATCAGCATGCCCATACAATACCCTGCTAGTACTTTCAGTATTGCTGAGAAAACTGTGCCTTTCTCTGTGTCAACTGTTAACCCTACTTGGTTCTGAGATACCGTGAGGCAACGTGACTTCTGACTGCATGTTCAAGGCTGACGTCATGCGCACTGCTTTTACCCCAACTGTTCCCAGTAGCTGTGTTCCCAGAAGCCTGGTTCTTGTTACTTGTTAGTTCCAAGTTCTGAAGGGTGGTGTGCAGATACATATATGGTACAGCTATGTGTCGTACAAGTGGACGAAGGCCCAGCCTGAGTTTTAGTACAAAGTTCCAAACTGTTTCGCAGATTGTCCCTGAGAATGAAATCCTGTTACAGGTATCTGGACTTTAGCAACTTTCTGATACAAGGCAGATTGTAGCAGCTTAGTCTCTTATCTTAGATCTTTATAAAGATCCTTTCCTGGGTGCCATTTCCTGCCCGGTACCTTTTCTCAGAAAATGCCCTGCGTGCAGCTTATAAAATAAGCGTGATCTACTTTCAGGAGCCCAGTAACAAGCGAACTCGAGGCCTGTCCAGGATCTCCTCACTAGCATCTATGCTGTCTCCAGTCAAGCCTGTGAAGAAGATTGGACAGACACTGCAGGTATGGAGCATTTTGCTAATTACTAGTAGGTTATTGTCTAGAGTGATGGATTTTATATGTAACAAATGATATATTGTACAATTTGTAGTCATGGAGTGGTGATTATAACTTTTTGCAGAATATTACATACAGGAGAGGGATGGGTAACGTTCTTCCTTCCAATACCGTGCCCTAGACACAGTGGATTAACAACCCACTGTCCCTACGGCCTTAAAAATAAAGGCTACAGGACTACCTTTACCTTTACCTATGCAGTGACAATTATAAGATTTTTGGTCGCACATAATTTTTGATTGTTTGAAAATGACTGCCGGAAGGTCTTAAAGTTGATGTGTTAATGGTGGAATCCAGCTGACCTGTAGCTCACATACTACCACTAGTACTGCACGTAGGCCAGCCATATGGCTAGTGCAACATGTGACAGCTCAATAAGTACATATCAATTTTTACCTACCAGATCTGAAGGATCACTGACAACTTAGAAACGTGGGAAGGTTGTCAGAGCCCCTGGTCGATTAAAAAGTCTACCATTTCAAGGATTAATGCTAATTTGAGCATCACTCTTTGTCAGCTTGTTCAGTACCCACTAGTTTGATGTGTAACAGTAACCAGTCTATCAATCCACCAAATTACTCACATTTCATGGAATAATTACAAATGCCACATTGTGACAGTCCCAAATGGAACTCGATGTAGACAGATTTTCTATATTCCTTAGTGTTACAGTTGTGGGTGCCCTGCTAGCTGTTTGCACATTTGATCTGTACAGGAAACATGTCTTGCACAGCTTGTTTGAGCTAGTACAAGACAAAATACAGCCTTTTGTGTGAGGAAGTTATGTTTCAAGTTATGTTCAAAACTGGTGTGTTACGCCGAAAGGCGGTTATACTGGCTATACAGATAAGGAACAGAAAAATAGTACCATATAAGATTAAAAAGATGTTGATATCAAATTATTTATGTTGTACAGAGGTCGCTGAGCTTCAGGAAGAGCACAGACGAGTCGCCGATGACAGCGATCAAGCCGTACCACATCGCGCCCACCCCGACCAAGCGACGGGAGAGCCTGCTCTGGAGCGACGTATACGCCAAGAACATCCGCAACGAGGTACTGACTCAGCAGCAGGTCAGGCATCAGGAGGTGAGGGAGCTTCAGATCTTCTTCATTGACATGAGGATTAGGGGTTGGAAAATTCTTCAAGTGTATCTGTACAGTCTGTACGTAGTCATTTATATATTGACTACAGTGTTTTTCTTTTGTGTTCCTGTCAGGCCATGTTTGAGCTGCACCAAGGAGAGAAGGACATGGTCTCAGACCTACAGATGGTGAAGAAGGTAAAGGGATTGTTTTTTTACATCCTGCATGCAGTACCCTTTTTTTCTGTAATTTTTCAAGTAAAAATCTTCAAGAAATAAGAACTTATATTTAGAATTGGGGAATATCGACTTAGCTAGGCTTGTTTGTCTGAATTTTTGATAATTACCAATATTATTTTCTATACTCAGACATACTATGAAGCGATGCGTGTCTTCAAAATCATGTCTGACGAGGAACTGAACATCATCTTTGGCACCATGCAGACCCTTCAACCTATCCACCAAGGTAAGGCGAAAATTTCACTAGTAATGTTTAGATAATAACTAATGACTGTTATATCTGTCTCCAAAGCCTGAAACATTTCAATGATGTAACTTAGGTAACCAAAAAATCTACTCTTATACTGTCAATTGTCACATGTGTTTAAAATATGATTATGATAATGTAGACTTTTTTGCTGTGGGAATTGGAACCTTGATGTACATTAATCCTCTGCCTGTCTTGCTGTCTCCAGACTTGGTGGTGAGACTGGAAGCTGCACGGAAGTCAGACGGCAAGATAGACAACATCGGACAGACCATGATAGACTGGGTATGTCACCATTTCCTGAAATATTCTACCAGCAGAAGAAACCATTATACCTTTTTACTGTTTTAGAAAGTTAAAACTAGTATGCAATCTGACACACTTGTACACACTGGCACACTTGTAGTTTATTTGATTGTTTTCTATGACTCTACTTTCTTCGGTCATTTATGATTTTATGGAAAGTTACCGATTAGCGCCATGTCCTATGTGCAAGTATGATCATCACAGTTTGTCTGCTATTTTGCCCCTCTCCCACAGATCCCCAGTCTGAAGTGCTACGTGGACTACTGTGCTCACCAGGTGGCTGCCAAGACTCTCCTGGACAGGAAGAAACAGGACCACCGAGTACAGGACTTCTTACAGCGCTGTCTGGAGTCACCCTTCAGCCGCAAGCTTGACCTCTGGAACTTCCTAGGTCTGTAGCTCAAACATTTCTACTCGTATTGTTGAAATCTTGCTTGACTGTTGAGCCCAACCATTTTGTTAATGAACAACATGTGTCATGTAGAAATCCTGACTAAAGTTACTAAACCTTCTTTCCTGTGTTTTCAGATGTTCCCAGAAGCAGACTTGTGAAGTACCCACTGCTGCTGAAGACCATCCAGAAATATGTAAGTAACAAAATAAATTTTTCCATTACTTGCTTTGTTTCTTCTTACATTAATAAAAAAAATCAAGTACTTGGGAGCAAAAATTAATAACTATAATGTTTTTTGGGGGAATGTACTGACTTCAACCCTTCTTTGAGTATCCATTGTGATGATAACGTTTTTTTCTCTCTTTTTAGACTCCAAACCACAGTGAAGATAAGGCCTTGCTGCAGACAGCTGTGAGTTTGTTTTTTTAACAAGTTACATGTACATGTTACTATTGTTAGTGTATATAAACATCAGTGTGATTTAACTACTAACTGATACAAGCCTTTATAAGCTTATAAAAGACAGTTTTCTTAACAAAGTATGTTCTATTTTTTGCAGGTGTCGCTTGTAGAGGATGTGATAGCCCAGGTGGACAAGATGACAGGAGAGTCCAACTGTCGCTTCTACATCAGCCGACTGGAGTACCTGGACGAGAAGAACGAACACCCGCTCATCGGGCAGTCCAAACTCCTGCTGTGTGACGGCATCCTCAGGAACAACAGGGGGACGGTACGTAAACTCTCAGTTATCTCTCAGGGAAAGAATGAGAAAAATGGTCATAGTTACACTTGACTTGCTTGATGCATCTTTGAAGGACTAAGGAAGTGTGAAGGGTCCAAATTGACTTGTTTTCCTGTTTTTGTGAAATATTGATCTTATATACCAGGGCTCAAAATAGTGGGTGCAATTTTGCACCTTAGTGCACCCAAAATTGGAGCTGTGCACCCAATTTTTTCTGTGGGTGCACAGGTGCACCCAAATATTTTTGCAGGAATTTTAAAGATATGAAATGTATACAGGATATTCTTGGCATCTATTCTAAGTATCAGAAAAATAATAAAATCTCTGTTGTAGTACTTAAGATTTTGAAGTTAGCTCCCAATTTAAATTCAAGCTCGGAAGAGGAGCAGTAAGACCTGCAATAAGGTTTTGTTTCATATGGTGCACCCAAAAAATTTGTTCACAGTTCACAGAAGTGGCTGTGAAAACAGTGAACACAAAAGAATCGTAAAAATTGTTAGTTACAGTATGTCTGAAAGAACTAGACTAAATCTACTTTGTTGTATCTTAGATCATGCCTGTCTGGTAACAAGTACCTGTGTCGTTGTTTCGCGTTATTTTCTTGATGTGGCAGATTCTTATAATTACTGCTGGATATGTTTTCATCCTGTATGTAAACTCACCCTCCCTGTCCCCTCCCCAGAAGCTGCATGTGTTCCTGTTTGATGAGATCCTGGTCCTGACGCGGCCGGCCACCCGTAACGACCAGCTGTGTTACCAGGTGTACCGCCAGCCCCTCCCCCTGTCGGACCTGGTGGTGGAGGACCTGACTGACGGGGAGGTCAGGATGGGAGGGTCCTTCCGAGGGGCTCTCATGACTAGGGATGGAGGTCAGAACTACTGATATTCACTTTATGGTCTGTGGCAGCACTGGTGCAGAAAAAAAAAGTTGAGGAATTATTTATGATTAGTTCACAATACAAAGGTGACTACAAAAAATCAGAACATAAAGTACAGTACCACTGTTGTAGTGAATAGAATATCACCATTTTTGGTTAGAACTTTCAACTCTGTGGTGCAAGCTTTACGTCATACAAGAAGGTGGCACATGGTAATTATTTTAATTTCTCTTCAATATTGTAAATCTTGTGTTGTTTTTATGCATTGGAGCTTGCCAGTAGAAAATAAAGATGTGGAGCAAACGTGGAAAACTTCCATCTGTACAGTTTTTTTCCTCTTTTTTGTCTCTATATCTACTGCTACTCATTGTGACCACTGCGTTGAGACCAAGTTTCACTATCTGTAGCAATACCATGTTGACACCCCCATGTTTACATGTTTACTGTCCACCTCCTCCAGGGAAGCACGTGTTCCGTGTGGCGCCGTCAGACCCCACAGCCGGGCAGGCGCACACCCTACAGGCCAGCAACGAACACGACAAGAAGAACTGGCTACAGAAGCTGAGGGAAGCCATGGTCGGGAAACGCAGGCCTCTCTCCGAGGTCAAGTGTCAACCCGACAACAGACAAGCACAGGATCGGGAGGACACAGAAAAGGCCACTGAAAAGGTTTCAAAATCATTTCTTTCTGAGTTTTTTATAGCTTTGATATAGCAACTGGCAGAAGCAATTTGTGTGTCAAATTTCTATTATTATAATATATGAAGAAGAATAGAAAGCCAAGTACATAGAAAAGAGAAAGGTTCAATTTATATAGGATCTTTTCATAATATTAAGGAAGACAATATGATTCTTCCTGTACATGTAGGTGGAAGATGTCTCCAGTACATGTAGAGTGTCATGGGCCAAGTGGAAAATTTACAGGAAACTTTCTGAACGTTGGAGTAAGTAGACAGCTCAGATATTACTCTTGTAATGGTCAGGTGGGAAGGCAGGTTAACACTCATAGATATCTCTGTCTGGTGTCTTACAGGTGAGGAGAATCTTCTGGTGGCAACTACTAGTACTATAGGGTTAAAAATCTAATATATTGTACATACGGTGAACGTTAACTAACAGTTGCACGTCTCCAGACATTAACATGCTCCTCCCATACTTTACAGAAGTCGAGCACAGTCAGGAAGATCGCCTTCAGGAGACGCACACCCCTGACTCTTGGCAAGAGTAAAGGCGAAAACCAACAGGCACCCGACTCAAAAGGAGATGACAACAAGGAGAAAACATCCCCAGAAGATGTAGAGAAAGAGAATGATAACAAGGAAGAAGAGAAGAAGGGCGAACCAAGCAGTTTGGTGGCAAAGGGAAGCAAAGTTTGCGTTGTCGACATCGGCTTGGTAGAAGATGAAGAGAAGGAGGAAGTGTCTTGTGAAAGAAGTGAAGAAACCTCAGTAGTCGCTGCCGAGAAAGATGTCTGTGTCATCGACCTGAATGACAGAATAGAAGAGAAGGCTGTCGAGGCACAAGAAACGGGTGACCAAACAGAAAGAGTGGAAGAAGATGTGAAGGATGAAGAAAGTACAGAGGAGTCGAAGCCAGATGACGACAGGAGAAAGACGGCAGAGTTGTGGGGGGAGCTGCCTTTCATTGACATGTCCGGGGAGGCTGAGGTGCAGGACGAGGATGGGCAGGCAGGGGGAGCAGCTGAGCAGGGGAACACAGCTGCAGTGGAAGAGATCAGCCCCAGTGTTGGTAGCGAATCCTGCTGTCAGCCAGACTCAAACACCACCAGGACAGTTGACTCTGAGGAGTTAGTAGTACCACAGAAGCCAGGAGATTGTTCTGCAGTGTCCTGTGAACCACGAGAGCAGGAAACACACAGTAAAGCCAGCAGGACAGTGTCTTGCACAGAGACTGAGGTGTAGAGGTCACATAGACTCTATGAAGAGTAAGAACCCGATACTTCATTGGATCACATTCCACATTGAGAAAAAGTTTTTGGAGACCCTGTAAAATTGGCAATATTGTCACACTTTATTTTGTACTTTCAGTTATACTGCATTTTGTTTGAGATAAACATAATAGCTTGTTACCTAAGCAGGGAGTCAGGTCTGGCTTGTAAGGCCTTTAGTTCTTCATATTTCTGTGGAAAATGTGAGAGGATATTGGAACTATAGGCTACTTGATAATGTACTGCTGTATTCCATGAAGTTTGAGAAGTGGCATTATATATAAGCATGTTTTAGTTATTACAGAGGCACAATTATATGAATTATTTTAGTTTTTTTTTTGTTATCACAGGTTACAAGCAAATGCCAAAGTTGATTTAAGCCAGTAGTCACAGTGCCAAGGTAATTCTGTAGGTTAAATTGCTGGTAAGAAAAGAAGTGCAGCTATGAATATCCGTAGAACTCAGATTATTTTCATAGATGAAGTTAGAAGGACATAACCTAGAGAGAGCTTGTAAATAAGAGATACACATAGTTTGGAAGACAAAGAAATCAGTTGTCTCTAGCAACGTAAAGTAGACATCCACAGCAGCAGGTAGAGATTTAGTTAAAATTGCTGCAGCTAGAATAGTCTAATCTCATTATCATTCTGTCACTTAGACACATCCCCCAATGTTGGAAGGAAGGTAGTATAACCCAAATGCAACTTAGATACCAAAGGATACAAGCCGGTTTGCCATAGACTTCAACGTGTTCAGGCCGAAACGGATTGCATTTCTGTCAGTCACCCATAGACTTTGTACAGGTTAAAACTTGGTCATTGATGTATAGCAGGGAGATGGAAAATTTGAAGAACAAAATTTTGTGAGATCTTTATGTGTTTGCAATGATCCTGCTGATTTGGTTTGTTCAGATATTTTTGGACAGACGTTTTCATACTGCGTATCATTGTAGGCGCTATAATTATAATCAAACTCCCCATCTCTCTACTACACAATTTTGCACCTAATTCTGTAGAATTGCTGGCCACAGAAATGCAGTGCTTTTCCCACCAGACCAGTTGAAGATGTGGCAAACAGACTTACGTATGTAGAAGTATAGGACTGTTTATAAAGTATCACACATTACTGGTGGTGGTGTATACTGTACGGTAGTTCATAATTTGTCATTGGTTTTTATGTTTTTGTGCATTGGGTGTTAATTGGACTGCCAGGCTGGCTATTCATAGTCACCAGGAATAATAGGCAACAGTAACAATAAGTTAGTTGTTGGCTCAACTCCCTTTTTAGCATACTGGATACTCCATGATTATAAATACTATAAGTAATGGTAGTTGTCCCGATATAGCTATGCAGTCTGAGATCACCATCTTATGTCACTTGTAAAAAATATGTTATTCATTTTATTTATTTCACCTGTAAATATGTTTCATGTATCAAGTCCTTGCCATGTTAACCCTTTCATATTTCTAACAAAGCTGTCATTTTATGTAGAGCTTGTATGCATCCGTTTTGTACTTTTCAGTGAGAGATAAACACTCTACACCTGTAAACTAATCGACATTGCTTACTTGTGCAGTCACTTGCAACAATGCTTTGTGCAGTGCAAATATCAGGCGTTACTGTCATTAAAATACAGAGTTTAAACGGGAAACTTTATTGTCTTTCTTAATCTGCATTTTTTCTTTTGGTATGTGGTAATACATTGTAGTTCCCGGTGTCTTAGAATGCCTTCTTCCCTATTGTAATGTTTTCCTGTGTAAGTGCAGCTAGACCAGGCTGCAAAATGTATTTCAAACCCTGATTACTTCGATGAGACTGCATCAGTGTGATCAGACACACGGTCAAAAAGCACCTAATATTTCTGGCACATATTTCCTTGTTTGAATTCTTTGAAACCCGTACATTTGTATTGCCATAAATGCCAATTTGGGGAAATGTGAAGAAAATCTGACAAGTTTCTTACATTTGGTGTTGAAATCGCCATAGATCAAACAAAATAACTATAATGTGTAATAACAATAATAGGTACTAGGTACATGTAATATGTTACTAGGTAGGAGCTATGTGAATAATTTGTATAAAACATTTGCAGATGAGCAGGATTGTAAACATGTAAGCCTTTTACAGGAGATCATCACCATGCATAAGATTTACGAATTTTCCAAGCACTCAACATGTCATGGAGGTATGAGATCGCCGAACTCTAGTTTGTAACTGAAACGGTATTTTGACAGCTAAGAAAAGGCTTACCATTAACCAACCTCCCAATATGAGCGCTTATAGATTACTTTATATCCTGGGATTTTAATTAAGTAGGTTATCCAGCCATTTATTTATTTCCAGAATAAACAAACTTGGGCCGCTTGCTTTGAAGTCAAACCCAAAATCTCTATCCGAAAATTTATTCATGAAAACTTTGTCGGTAACAGGAATGGTGTACTTGTAAGTCGTTTTTTTTTTCTTTTTGAGTTGTCTTCGAATTTAGACCAGCAGCACCCATGATATTAATTGATTAATTAATAGAGACAGCCGTTTTGCACACCTGGGTAAAAACCCTCATTGGGCATGCGCCTTTTGCCTGGTCCCTTCAAAAATTTCAAAGGGGCGGTTTGGAAAGACGAGTTCTCTGGGATTTTTTCAACTTTCGGAATTCCGGATACTTTTTCTAGTTTTTATCGGATTTATGTCTTTCTAAAGTCTACAGTAGAATGTTGGGAACTTTTCGCGGTAGATTTATGGCACTTTCGTGATGTTTTGGGGAGAAAACGCTGACGTTTCAGACCTGGTGAATTTTCGAGAGGAAAAGAACATGGCGAGATTTTGGGGACGTGGTTTGAAGACGACTTGGGTTTTCGCAGGTAAGTAACAAAACTATTTGGCTAACATTATGCATGCCCTAGCATCTAGTAAGGTCATGTCATATTTATATTAACAAATCATATTCTGAAAGAAATGATATTGTTCTGTAAACTCAGAACGAGCGACAGTTCCACTTGTTAAGAGCCGACTTTTCCGCGCATAATTTAACATTTTTCCATGTGCGCTGTGCTTGTACAGTGTTACTGTTAGGTGTATGTCTTATTGTTTGTCAACTCCACAACGCTGTGAGTTCATATTTCTGTGTATTTCTGAAAAAAATATAGCCTGGGTACCATCCGGATTTTCGCTACGCAACGCTTGAAATTGTTGCGTAGCGAAAATCCGGATGGTACCCAGGCTAAAAAAAATATGCTCTAACAAAAACGTGCACGTGGCTCAAAAACACTTGATATACGTGTGCATTGTTAAATCCTTGAACAAGTTAAGGGTGGTTCCTCAGAGTTCAAGCCATTTGATATAACGTTATTATGCTCTTTTTTTTAGAGTAGGGTAGATGTCTTCGGCCAGGTAGGAGTTTAGGTTCCAGATTAGGCCGCTCATCTCTTTCAGAGCACCGACATTCTGGGGATGGTCTACATCTCTGTAGTCGAAAATCAGATTCTTCTCTTTAAATGTGAGTCCAGCCTTTCCTTGAAAGCATTCACCGCCATTCTGTTGGCAAAAAAGCAGGCCCGTTGCCATTTGCTGCCTTTCTTGCTACACGTATAGACAGTGACCCCTTGTTCTTCTGCCTGATTTCAGTTCAAAAGGTGAGACTGTGTTGTATTTTCCGTGAATGAACTTGTAGGTGTTGATCAGGTCCTCTCTGAGCCTCCTGTATACTAGCGTGGGTAGTACTTTTAAGTCTCTCGGCATAAGGTTACTACGGTCTCTGAGCCCAGGTACCCTCTTTTCTGAACCTTCTCAAGTCTACCGCCAGCTTCCATGTGTGTGGTGATCTACACAGCAGCAGGAATACCTCTGTCAATGAACTCGAAGGTCCTATTATATACATGCCCGTAGCCAGGAGTTTGAATGGGGGGGTTCTTCCCACTGCTTGAGTGGACCTCGAGCGCCGGCGCGAGGTTCCTAGGGGGGTCCGGGGGCATGCTCCCCCGAAAAATTTTGAAAAATGAACCTTCTAAAATGGCATTTCGTGCATTTTTGAGAGGATTTCCAAGAGAAAATCAGAGATAAATTTTTATTCAATGACAAAGAGAGCAGTTTTTCTACGATTACAGTCCATCTTTTCAAGAAAAAACTTGGACCTTTACATAAAATGTGGACCAAAAAGTGGACCTTTACATAAAATGTGGACCAAAAAGTGGACCTTTACATAAAAAGTGGACCTTTGAGCCTTGTGGGGGGTTCTTCCGAACCCCCCGAACCCCCCCTGGCTACAGGCATGATATATAAACCACATAAGACTTCGACCAATTTCTTTCGTGCTGATTCACGGTAATCTTGTTCAGTTACTCACTGTATAATCGTCGTTTGACCTAATTTTTACGAAAGACCATAGGAACAAAACGTAAAACAGACGACAAGCTTAAACAGACTACGAGCTTAAACAGACGACGAGCTTAAACAGACGACGAGCTTGCTTAAACAGACAACGGGCTGGCTGAAACAGACGACGAGCTTGCTGAAACAGACGACGAGCTAATGCACAGACGACGAGCTTGCTGAAACAGACGACGAGCTTGCTGAAACAGACGACGAGCTTGCTGAAACAGACGACGAGCTGAAACAGACAACGAGCTGGCTGAAACAGACGACGAGCTGAAACAGACGACGAGCTGGCTGAAACAGCGAAGGAGCGACGCTCCCGCTCCAAGGCTGGAAACCCTGGCTCCTTGTATAGTGTACGGTCCCTTCTGAGTGACACCAGATGCTGTCTATGGCCCTGTTCAGATTGAATCAGTGAAAGCGCCTTACATGTGTTGATGATATGAATGTTAGACATCCAGGTAAACAATACTCATAGGAAATTCAAACTCCTACTACTGGATAAGTTATGGAGATAATATCCGGGCGTTTCCAAGTGACATTCACCACTCTTCTTCAGCGTCACTAATGAACTAACGTTAACTTTGTTAATTGATTTGTTTCTTGCAAATTCATGCCCGAGGGCTAATCGCATACAGACATTGACAATAAAAATGTGGTGATATAAGACTATTTGCTAACATGAACTTCTACGTGTACGATATACTTATCGAACCTACTACATGTATCTCTACTAATAACGTTGGCATACATACAGGCTAAAAAAAAAGTAAATATGCAATATGAGAACAGGTAATAGGAACAAGGTAACTGCTATTCTAATCCGTTCTATTCTATTAAACTATTCTTGTCATGCTATTAGGGGGTTTGACTTCTTCTCAGGAAGCAGTGGGAGATGAATTGTCCGACTCTTTAAAAAATAAAAGGGTTGGGAGTGAACAGAAGACGATAAAGCACAATTGAGCTACTCCCCACTTCTAAGCAGCCGTCACCATCTTCCTGCTATAGAACCCATCAGGGGTCGTTCGGTTTATAGCACCTTCGGGGTGCCCATCAAAGGATGACACTTTTTTATCTGTCAGATTATAACAGTTTTCACATCGAGTTGAAAAATGTGCTTGCCTGCCTGGCTGTCTGTTTACTGTACTGCTCGTAATGAACTGAACAATTTCGCCTTTCTGACTTTCCACCTCCATGCTTTCTACAACTTTCCACCACACAATAAGTTAGTTGCTGACATTTTGCCATCCTTCCACTTGTATTAATTAGTATGTGTAGGTTTGTTGTGTGTGTACGTGCGCTCGCGCCTTATTGGTCAAGTACTGATGACGTAAGAGGTAATGCTTTCAAAAACTTGTGACCAACGACAGCGTGGTCACAAGTGTATTCATTAGTGACGCTGAAGAAGAGTGGTGAATGTCACTTGGAAACGCCCGGATATTATCTCCATAACTTATCCAGTAGTAGGAGTTTGAATTTCCTATGAGTATTGTTTACCTGGATGTCTAACATTCATATCATCAACACATGTAAGGCGCTTTCACTGATTCAATCTGAACAGGGCCATAGACAGCATCTGGTGTCACTCAGAAGGGACCGTACACTATAAAAGGAGCCAGGGTTTCCAGCCTTGGAGCGGGAGCGTCGCTCCTTCGCTGTTTCAGCCAGCTCGTCGTCTGTTTCAGCTCGTCGTCTGTTTCAGCCAGCTCGTCGTCTGTTTCAGCAAGCGCGTCGTCTGTTTCAGCTCGTCGTCTGTTTCAGCTCGTCGTCTGTTTCAGCTCGTCGTCTGTTTCAGCTAGCTCGTCGTCTGTTTCAGCTCGTCGTCTGTTTCAGCAAGCTCGTCGTCTGTTTCAGCTCGTCGTCTGTTTTAGCTCGTCGTCTGTTTCAGCTCGTCGTCTGTTTCAGCTAGCTCGTTGTCTGTTTCAGCTCGTCGTCTGTTTCAGCAAGCTCGTCGTCTGTTTCAGCAAGCTCGTCGTCTGTGTATTAGCTCGTCGTCTGTTTCAGCAAGCTCGTCGTCTGTTTCAGCCAGCCCGTTGTCTGTTTAAGCAAGCTCGTCGTCTGTTTAAGCTCGTCGTCTGTTTAAGCTCGTCGTCTGTTAAAGCTTGTCGTCTGTTTTACGTTTTGTTCCTATGGTCTTTCGTATCATTTATTTCAGAAAATGGTACATGCTAGATATTCTACTAGTCTTTCTTAATTAAGACTTCTCAGTAGTTGGTACGAAGGACCAAAACGCCAAAATTTGTGCTCAACGAAGGAACTAAATTCAACAGAGAAGGGACTAAT